TTCACTCCCCAAGCAGCCGCAATGGCTGGAGCTGTGCTGATCTGAAGCTAGGAGCCCGGAGCTTCTTCTAGGTCTCCCGCATGGGTGCAGGGTCCCAAGGCTTTGAGCTGTCCTTGACTGCCTTCCCAGGCCACAAGCAGGGAGCCAGAAGGGAAGCAGGGCTGCTGGGATTAGAACTGGCACCCATATGGGATCCGGCACTTTCTTAGCCTCTACGCTACTGCGCTAGACCTGACATTGTTCTTTTTATCTTTTTTTTTCCTTCCCTTTCTTCTTTCTCTCTCCCTCCCTCCCCTCAATGTTCCTTCCAGATAAGGGATAGAACGGAAAAAGAGAGGTTTATCTTCCATCCATTCCATTCCCCCACATGCTTACAACAGCCAGAGCTGGGCCAGACTAAAGCCATGAGCCTGGAACTTATCCAGGTCTTTCACATGTGTGACAGGGACCCAAGTACCTGAGCCGTTACTGTTGCCTTCCGGGGGTGTGTTGGGGGGGTGTGTTGGCAGGAAGCTGGGTCAGGAGCAGAGTCAGGATTCAACCAAGCACAGGAATATAGGACATTGGTGCCACGAGCAGCAAAAGAACTGATGCTGCAAACACCCACACAAGACACACTTCCAGAAACACTTCTTGGAAAAAAAGCTGAAGCATGAAGTAGAGTCCAGCAAGAAACGAATTGAAGTAACTCGCAAAGGCCTTTGTGCAAAGACATCAATGGTAGCTGAATTCATTTTAATATGAAAGGAACACTAAGTAACTATGAAATTATGTTTATAGAAGACAGCGATTGTTACACACAGGGACAATGTAACAATACGTGACACATGTCAGGGAATGGAAAAAGGCATGCCTGCTGGTTTTTCAAAGCACTGAACACAATACACACTTTATAATTGAGAAGGTCGTTAAAGAAAATGACTCTAGCCTTTTAAAGTTTTCACAATGTTTGCTTAACCTCAGAGGTATCTTTGAGGAAGTAAAATCTCCTGTGGTCAAGGAACATTCTTTGAAGTTCAGCTCTCCCTTCAGTTTCACGTCAGCTTCTTTTTTGTTCTTTTATAGCCTAGTAAAATTACGTTTAATACTTCGTAGGCAAATGGGATCTGTATTATAGTCCAAATTCTTGTAACATATCTCCATTATCTTCCTCCTGAAAATATGCCTGGAAAAGCCTTGGGGTGTGCTGGGTAAGTGACAGTGGTTAGACCTGGGGGCGGAGGGAGGGGATTCGGCTGGTGCAAGCCTTTCTGTGTTAAAGCACACATATGTCATTTTCCTAAAACCACGCAGTTGTTCAATTAAAGGGGCAAACAGGCCAGGAAATTATCCCTGGTTAATTTGTTTCTTATTTATATAGTTACTTACTTTTACTTTATTGACTTGAGAGAGAGCACTTCCATTTGCTGGTTCACTCCCCAAATACCCAAACAGCTAGGGCTGGACCAGGCCAAAGCCGGGAACCAGGAATCCAACCCCAGTCTCCTACACAGCTGGCAGGGCCCCCGCCACAGAAGCTCTCACCTGCTGCTTCCCAGGGTCTGCACGCACAGGAAGCCAGGTTCAGGACTGTAGCCAGGACTCAAGTGCAAGCATGTGGTAGGGGCTGTGGTGTCCCTAGGAGCCTGCCCCTGGGTTATCCAAGTGCTGGGAGACAGACACTTGTTTTCTTATCTTTTTTTTTTTTTTTTTTTGATGTCCCAAGAAATAAGCAAAAATGTTAAGTATTAGAAACATTTATTTTTTCATGGACCAGAATCAACAACCTAGAAGAGTACTTGGCAGGGATTGCTGTTGTCTGCTAACATCTGTCGTCCTCAGGGACCATGTTGGGAATTTTTAGCTTCACCTGACAGACAGAAGGAAGACCCCATTTCCCAGGCCTGGCAAACAGGATGTCAGCAGAAGAGCCACATGGCAGCCACCAGCATTGGTTGAGAGTGTAGAGTGTTTATTCATTTTGTCTGTGTTTGTCTTTCTTTTCTGGCATACAGCAGTCAGTATATCGCACCTGGGTGGCCAGAGCCATCAGTTCAAGCAGCAAGATGGAAGCTGTGTGTAGAGTTGTGTGAATCCTGGACCACTTGCCTCAGGGATGTTAGCAGGACATTGCTGAGTGGGTGTTTGGCTCCGTGCGAAGGTGCTCTTTAAGCTGCCCACCTCCCTGCTAGAGGACCTTGCTGGGTCCTGTTGCCAACCAGTGTTGGCTCCTGATGGCAGCTTCTTGCCAGTATACACCCTGAGAGGTAGCAGGCTGTCAGAGGCAGGTCAAGTACTTGGGTTCCTGCTGCCATGTGCGAGATCCAAACTGAACCCCAGGCTGCTGGCTTCAGCCTGGCGCAGCCCTGATTGCTGCCGGCATCCCGGGAGGGAATCAGTAGACAAGTGTACTTGCTTCTCTCTGCCTTTCTGGCTAGAAGGGAATGAAACAGGGAAGGAGGAAGAAATTTCTATGTTGCTGAAGCAGAGGAATTGAATCTCAAAAGATGGCACTTAATCCAAATCCCTACACACACACACGAAAATTTAGTCTGCGGATGCCATTTGTTTTGTACACCAGTGGGGGAAGGTGGAATAACCAGCCCAAAATGCACATAAGGTGACAGTGTTGCCAAAGTACTATAAGCAATATGAACGAATATGTGTGTGAACTTGAGCTAAGAGAGAATCTTCTGTTTTTACAAGTAAAGGTGAAAACTACAAAGATAATAAACTTAATCTTTAAAAGATTTATTTTTACTGGAAATGCAGATTTGCATACAGAAGGAGAAACAGAAATATCTTCTGTCTTCTGGTTCACTCCCTAAATGGCCACAATAGCCAGAGCCAAACCAGTCCAAAGCCAGGAGTCAGGCTGGTTCTCCCGTGCAGGTGCAGGTGCAGGGTCCCAAGGCTTTGGGCCATCTACCATTGCTCTTCTAGGCCATACGCAGGGAGTCAGATGGGGAATGGAGCAGCTGGGATAAAAACTGGTGCTCATTTGGGATGACAGCGCTTGCAACTGGAGGATTAGCTAGTTGATTTATTTGGGGGCCATTGTGCTGGCCCCCAAAACTTAAAATTTTAAACTTCTGTGTGACAAAAATAATAAAGCGTAAAGGCAAGCAAGATGCCTTGAGGGCAGCATTTCCTGGACCAAAGCTTGCAGGTGGTGCTGGGTGTGTGTGTGTGTAGTGTGTTTCGGTGCAGATGGCTAGGTTGGGGCCGGACTACAAAGAGAGCAAGGGTGCTTGTTAGCCAGCCCACAGCTCCAAGGGCTTGTTCAGAAGCCTTTTTCCTGTATGGAACTCAGCATTCCCACAGTTACTCGACTATGGAACAGCCAGGACTCAAACTTGCACCGTGGGATGTGTGCACAACAGGTGGACACTTAGTGTGCTGAGCCATGGCATCAGCCGCTGTTCCATTGCTGATCCAGCTTCCTGCTAATGTGCCTGGGAAGGCAGCAGAGGATGGCTCAAGTACATGGGCCCCAAGCACCCAACTGGGGGACCTGGATGCAATTCCTGGCTCCTGGCTTCATCCTGGCTCAGCAGTGGCTGCTGCAGCTTCTTGGAGAGTGAACCAGTGGGTGGCTGATCTCTCTCTCTCTTCTTCCCTCCCTCTCCCCTCTATTCTGTTTCTCCCTCTCTGAATCACTTTGCCTTTGAAATAAATCAATGAATCATATTCAGAAACATAGTTTAGGTGGATCCCAGGGAGCTGGGAGAAACTTCTTGATGGTTGCAGAAAAACAAAAAGGAAACAGCAGATCTGGTGGAGAATGATCCAGTCCATACAGACTGCCCACACACAGTGTCCTGGCTTCTGACATTAGGCCCTGGGGTCCAGAGAGGGACCCTTTATTAAGCACTGTCTGAACTACATCTTAAAGCCTGTACTTACTTTATCTCATTTCAACTTGTGACATAGGTACTATAACTACTTTTTTTTTTTTTTAAGAAGGAGAAGGAGGTGTAGCTCAGTTTAACCTGCCCAACTAGGATTAGAAAGCTAGCAAGGGGTGAAGGTAGGCTTCCAGTCTGGAAAGCCTGGGGCAGGTGCCCTTCTGCACTCCTAGGCCATTTGGAAAGAGGAGCGGGCAGCTGGTGAGGTGGGAGGTCAAGCCAGGGGCTGGGGACTGAAAGGAAGTGTCTCATAGCCAGGGCAGGAGCAGGGAGGGGGCCCCTATGAGAGCCAGGAGCACCTAGCCAGGCTTTGGTCTTCTGGAGTCTCCAGGAAGCACAGGGAAGGGGTCCATCCTGAGGGAGATTCTGTGGGTGCCAGTGCGGGGGGAGGTATACACTGCCTGGAGTGAGGCCAGTGGAGGAGAGGACCAAGCCTTGCTATGTACCCAACAGAAGGGTTAGAAGACGCAGGTTTCCTGGCTTTGGAGTGGGCAGAACTGAGAAGGAGCTGGAGTTCCTGAGGCCTCGGCTTCTGAGTTCTGAGCTTCTGAATTTCTGAGTTCTGAGCTCCGGTGGAGTCGTGATACCGTAGAGGGAACATGTGTGCCCGGGGAGCCGTGGCCCTCCGCCAAGTCCGGACTCACGCCCCATCACCTCTTGGCCTCCATTGGGTCTGGAGCATTAGCGTCTAGCTCACCTTGCCGCTGCCCAAGACCCGGTGGCAACCGCACATCCTGCGTGGTCCTTGCGCAAGGCGCAAAGGTTGGCCCCCCGCACAGGGCAGGCTGCCGGTCCGGACGTGCAGGTCCCGCCCGAGTCCCGCCCTGGCTTGGGCCAGAGCATCAGGTGGGGCCCACGGCTCACACACGCACGAGGTGGAGGAGGCCTCTCTCGGCCCGGCCTCGCCGACCCTCAGCCCATTGTGTGGGCTCGTTCTCTGGAGGGAGCGGCCGGCGTGCGCCCTGGTGCCAGACCCCGACAGCCCCACACCAGCTCAGCCGAGGGCTCCGCGGGCCAAGCGGCGCACGGTGGTCCCACAGACTACAAGTCCCAGCAGCCCCGCCGTGGGCGCCCCGGCCCCGCGTGGAGACCCTCCCTGCCGTCCGGGCGGCGGGGTCCCGGGCTGCGTTCGCTCGGGGCCAGGCCGGGCGGGGAGGCCGGCCCAGCGGGCGGGGGGTGGGGGCAGGCGGGGGCGGCTCCGTGGCTTCTCCCGCCGCTGCCGCCAAGGGGAGTTTCCAGGAAGTGGCCATATTGGATCCATTCAGCCGCAGCCGCCCGGGCGGAGCGCGTCCCGCAGCCGGCTCGTCCCCGTCGCGGCTCCGGCGCTCGTTCCAGCCCGGACGCCCCGGCACTCGTTCGCCATGGCGGCCACGGACCTGGAACGCTGCTCGGTGAGGGCCGCGGGGCGCTGGAGGCCGCCCTGCAGGGCCGGGGCTTGCGGCGTGCTGTCAGCGGGCGGCGGGCGGGGGCGCCTGCGGGGCGCCAGGCTGGGGTCGCCCCATCGGGCTCGGGCTTGTAGACCTAGTTCACGGAAAGACGCAGAGACCCGCGGGGTTTCGGGCACGTGTGAAACCAGACTGGAATCCTCAGGCCACGGGAGGATGCGGGACATCCTGACCCCGGTGGCCCGGGGCGCTCCTGACTGCACCGCTGGGGAGCTCCCTGGCCGCGCAGGTGCTGCTGGATGGGCTCGGTCGCTGAGGAGGCAGCCCTGGCCACCCAGGCAGGTCTGGCCCCCTCAGCTCAGGGCAGTGCCAGGCTCGGATCCCGAGGAACTTGGGCCTGCTATCTCTCCCCTGACCTCGCATTCGCCTCCATGCCTGCATCCAGATCCTGGGTGCGACTCCGGGCATGCCAGGCCTCAGTGGTCTGATCTGCGGCAGCCATTCCCAGGAAAGCAAGCGGGTCCTGAGCTAGCCCAGTCGAGGGCGCGGGGGCGGTGGTGAGGGGAGGTGTCTGCTGACGTCCCTGGTGGTCCCTGCAGGGTCTCCCTGGATCGCAGGCAGCCCACTGCCAACTTCCTGAGGATTTTGTGATTCCTCCTGCCCCGCTGCTCTGGAAGGAGGCCTTCTGGGGGTTGTGCGCAGTGCCTCTGGAGTCTGGGTGTGTCTGGGAGGCTGGACTGTGACAGTGTGTCCCCGTGCCAGCAAGTGAGGCCCCAGTCGGTCCTTAGTGGAGAAAGGCCTCAGGGGCTTGGGGGGGGAGGATCCTGAATATGTGACTGATAAAGAATCAGTTCTGGAGCTAAATAAGGGAGCCAGGACTTATGTAATTAATGCTATAAATACTGTCGCCTGGATTTATATATGTAAATCCCCCCACCCCCCCACCCCCGTCTGAAAACACATTTGTTGTTCTACTTTGGAAGTGTGCATAGCTAAAGCAGGAGGTGCGGTCTTTCCACTTCCTGCCCTTGGTATGTTCCTGGCCGCGGGTGGGGGGCTGTGTGTCAGGGAATGGAGTCAGGGTCAGAGGTGGGACCCAGGGGAGACTGACCTCCCCGCAGGGGCTGACCTGAGTCCTCCCCTCAGCTGGAGCTGGAGCTGCTTAGTTGTGTCTGCGTGCCTGACTGACCAGAAAATTATGCACGGGTCTTGTCTGTGGCCAGTTTCATCCCGCAGGTGGGAATGGTATGTGGAGAAACCAGAACCGGACCAGCCAATATGCATGCCGGCTACTACCTGTTGGCTGTGTGCCCTTGGGCAAGTGACGTAACCCTCAAGGTTCTGACCTGTGCGGTGGGATGCGGGCACTGCCATGTCACAGGGGTTACTGTTGAGGGTTCAGTGGGGAGAGTCCAAGTGAGGAATGCAAGATCCCTGGCGTGTATGTGGGCAATCCTGTGATAGGAGGCAGGGGTGCCCCAGTGTGTGGCACTCCCAGTCTACAGAGAGGTCCTGACCTGCCAGGGTGTGGGCGCAAGAACCTGCCTCTCAGCCCTTTGTGTCTACCCCGGGACTGTTTCTGTGCAGGGGCCGTCTCCGGTAGTGGGGAGGGTGGGGAGTGGTACAGCACTGCGGTCAGGAGACCTGGCCCCACTGTTAGTGCCTTCCACACTTGCCGCGCTCTGGGTGGAGAGCTCAGGCAGAGCCCGACCTGAATTTCAGGGTCTGGACTGCATTCTCGCCTCCTGCTTGGCTGGCCGTCTTGGGAAAATCATTTCTGACTTTCTTGTTCCACCGCTGGCACAGCCACACTTGTCTGTTCTGGAAAAGGGTCTGTGGCACATTTGGTGACGTAGTGATGGAGCGTGGTAGGTTTCCGTATTTCTGTGAGCAGCTCAAGCGTCAGCACCCTGAAGAGGCTGGCGGTCGTGCCGACCCGCGGCTCACACAGACACAGTGCTGTGCTCTGGGGTGGAGCTGTTCTGGGTTGTTTCCCCACAAGGTGTGATGCACACCCCGCACATTCCTGACCTGGCTCAGTGCTCCGGCAGGGCCTGTGGCTCGCACCTGCGTGTAGAGGGGTGGGAAGCGGCCCTCTGGGGATGTGGTCTGCCCTCATCCTTGCCGGGACCCCCAACCCGGAGGCTCCCCACTCTGCCTCCCCACTCCAGCCTTGCTCCCCTCAGGCTCCAGGGAGGGAGACTGAAGCTGCGAGGGCAGAGGAGGCAGCGTGCTGCAGGGCAGCCTCCGGCTTGGCCCTCTTCCCAGCCAGTCATGTACCCCCCCAGCTTTGCTTATCTCCAGCTCCATCTGTCACTTCCCCAAGAAGCAGGTTCCCAGGCAGTGCCCATCGTCTCCCGCAGCAGGGCAGGGGGAGGCAGCACCTCACCCAGGGCACCCAAGGCCTCTGTCAGGGCATAGTGGGGAAGTGACCACGGACTGCCTCGCTGAGCCATCCTGAAGGAGAGAGCCAAGCAAGATGGCCACGCGGCTCTCTGGGCCTGACAGCCCTGGGGGGCAAGACAACTGGTACCCGGAGGAAGAGGAGAACAGAGCAGGGTGGGAGAACAGAGCAGGGTGGGAGCTGGCCACGTAGCAGGAAACGGAGACAGTCCCAATGCTGGGGAGGAGGCTGGGAGGTCAGGGCCTGGCTCTCATCAGAGGCGTTGGTGGCAGGGAGGGCATTGGATTCTTTGTGCCCCTTATCTTGTTGTTGCCAACAACCTGTGATGAGTGACATAGCTGATGTGGTCTATGGCCAGGACAGGGTGGGCCCCAGGCCCAATCCCCAGCACCCAGGACCCCTGAGATAACAGAGGGTGGGGCTAAGTTTGGAGCCCCAGGATGGGATCAATGGAGAGTGTAATGGGTAGTCACTACCATAGTGTCACGCGAACTGGCTGGGTGCAGACACTGGAGGCAGCTGGCTTTGCGATGGCAGGGCTCAGGGCCTGGGTTGCCAAGCAGGCACCACCCCACCCCCCCCACACACACCCCATTAGTTCTGCAGCCTTTCTGCTCCCAGTACGGCCAGCTTGGGTCTCCAGAGCCCCAGGCAAGGCCCCAAGGCACACACTTTGCCAGACAGCCACATGTTGGATTATGTAGCCAGGAGGCGGGCACATCAGCCTGGGGTAGGGACACCACCCAAGGTGGGCTTTGCTGTAGAGCTGGGCACACTCTGCCTTCTTCCCTGGGGCTGCCTGCATCCCTAAGAATTATAGGAGGTGCCACAGCAGGCAAGAGGAGAAGGGCCAGACAAGGAGCATCTTGGCAGCAGCTGCAGGCACCCCTTTTATCATGGGAGTGAGTTACAAGTCTCCTTCCTCAGAGCACCCGGTGCCCAGGTGAATCTCAGCCACCCTCCTAGGGACCGAGTGAGCTGGCCAGCACCAGAGGAGGGTGGGGGGACACATGTGACCCTGAGGGCTGCCTGGGCAGGGGGCAGCTGGAGCCTGGGTCTAGGAATGGCTGTGGATTTGGAGTCCACTCCCCAGCTCAAGCCTGCTACCCTGCTTGGGAGTTGGGGGCAGGCCACAGAAGAGTGGCAGTGTGGTCCTGTGTCTCAGCTTGCCATGCTACCAGCCGCAAGTTCCTCCGCCTGTCCCAGCATGGGCATCCCTGATGGCATGGTGGAGAGATACAGCCGCCTCTGTTGCCCACAGCCCCTTCCCAGACACTCCCCATCATGAAGCAGAGACTGGCCCCTCCTTCTAGTGGTGTTTGCTACTGGAGTCCACAAGCCAAGTGAGTAAATAGGGATGCCTGGGATTCTGGTACATTCTGTGGTCTTGAGTGCCCACCCTATCTACCCTGCAGTGGGGTGGCTCACTCTGTCTCTGGTGGTACAGTCAAGTCCAAGTATGTGTCTGCATCCCAGGTCCTGGTGTGGATTCCAGTACCCGGGAACTGTGTCCTGGGCTTTGCGGACACCTGGTTCTGATGGGAAAAGTGTTAAAGACAGCATTCTCAAATAAATAAGCTGCAGTCCTACTGTGTGAAGAGGAGGGAAGAAAGTGTCACTTGGTGAGAGAAGGTGACCCAGAGAACAGTATGTTGGGAGTCAGTAGAGGGCTGGTCTGGCGCTCCTACATTGGCTTTGCGAATTGTGGGTCGCAGGAGGTGGGGCGTGACAGGCCTGTGCTGCTATTACCTGAGCTCTGGCTGTCCGCACTGTCTTAACGAGGCCTAGGCCCTCTCCCTCAGAACAGCCTGCTCTCAGGTTCCGGAGGGCAACCTCCCCACCCGTACCCTCCTACCCTCCTGCAAGCATCCTTCTGCTTGTTTCCCGTAACCTTTGACCTGGGGTTAGTGGCTTGCTGTGGAATCCCGGGATCGAGCCCAAAGCCTTCCCTGGGAAAATTCCTGGGATTCCTCTGGGCCTCCAGGACAGTCATGCTTCTGAGACCACAGGTCCTGGCCGCGGCTTGTGCTCTGGCTATTTAAGTCCAGGCTGCTGGGAGTAACGAGCCAGGGCCGGGGGCTTTGCGCCAGGAAGATGGGTGGAGAAGGCGCCCTGTGATACTGACTTCTGATCCCCTTGTTCCATGACTGGATGGTCCTCCCTCGGGGCTGCAGCTGTCCTGGGGACACCAGGACACGCCAGCTTGTGAGGACCATGGGAGAGATAAGCAGCCCGTGCCAAAGGCACAGGAAAACACTGTGGCTGACTGGGATCCTGGGCCCCTTGCAGCCATGGCTGGGTCTCCCCTCCCCCCCCCTTCCTAACAAGCAGCCGCATTTGGGAGGTCTGATCCCAGGGCTGTTTGTTCACCCGCATGGTCCCTGGCTCCACTGCTTTAGTCGCTCAGCAGAGTTCCAGTTCCTTCTGGACGGAGGCCTGTTTGTGTGTGTGGGCAAGCTGTTCAATGTGGATTCTCCCCAAATCCAACCTCATTTTCCATCTCTCGGCTGGCAGCAAGAGCCACTCTGGAGGCCCAGACGGAGGAAGGCCTAGTGCTTGTTACCTGCCTCTGACCAGTCAGCTGGGCATGGCAGGACTCAGTCCACCCGGGCAGGGATTATTTTGGTTCTTATCTCTGATGGGCCAACAAAAAGATGACCCGGGGAGCCTGGGGCCTGGCGTGGGGGAGTGACTGGAGAGTGGCCCCAAGGCATTCTCGCCATGGGTGTGGAGCACTTAGGGCTGCTGGCTCTGGCTCTGTGTCCTGGACATTGAAGGTATTTAGAGTCGCCTTGTCTGATGGGAGCTGGCAGTTTGGGAAGGGCTGGAGGCAGCAGTGTCCCCTCTCACTGGGGCCCAAGGACGCAAACAGCGTGCGGTGTCCCTTCCGCTTGCTTGCCTCCTAAGCCTGGACCCCACACTGCCAAGGCCTTCTGCCCATGCCAGAACTTGGTCGTCTCCAGGTGAGTGTTTTAGGTTTTCTCAGTTTGTATTGTTTGCCAGCAGGTACAGATGAGGCCATTTCATGCACATCTGCATCTCTGGGTTCAGAAGACTGCTGTGTGGTTTCTTTACCGCTCCCTTGCCCAGTCCCCACCTCTTCCTCGGGGACCCATCAGTGGCCACCTCAGGGCTGCCTGTCACCCAGCAGCATCTCAGTCTTGGCTGTCCGATAGTCCTCTCTGCCCTCAGATCCTGGCCTCGCCCTCTCGAGAGCGTGGTCTTACACAGTAACTCAGCCACTGGTGCCTATTGGACTGCACAACAACGAACGTGCAGAAGCTGACCTCAGGTGGTTCCTGCATGGAGTAAATGAGATGCGAGTTTGTCACAGTCCTTGTCCCTTTGATGCTTGCCTGATCTCCTTTAGCACTCGCTGTGGGCTGAGCCAGGGTCAGGTGCTCTCACAGCCTCCGTGGTGGCTGTCTCAGTGCCTGGCCCATGGGGGAGTCTCTTTGGGTGCTGAGTGAATGAGGGGTGCGAGGGAGCCTGCTAAGGCCAGTGATGCAGTGGACAGAATGGTGGGGTAGAGGGGACTTGAGCTACCCTGAGGTCCCTGCCTGAACCCAGCTCGGCTTGGGCTGCATGGTTGGGGCTCCTGCAGGGTGCTGAGGTTGGCCTTGACCTCTGTTCTGTCCTCTGCCTCCCCCAGTTCCCTCTCCTCACACTGCCCTGTTCCTCTGCATCCAGAGTGACCATAGCAGCCCGGAGATGCTCCCTTGCAAGCCCTTGCTGACCGCAGTCCACCTGGGAGGTATGGCTGGGGCACGGGGAAGGCCACAGGCCAGGTCATCCCAGGCTCGTGCAGCCACGTTCTCAGCGCCCCCGTCCTCTCCCAGTGGGCCTCAGCTTTAGGCCGCCTCTCCTGATGGCCACAGGAGGGTCATGAAGACTTGGCCTGGCTCATATGCCTCTGCCTGAAGAGGTTGTGAGTTTGTGCCGATTGGCTTCAGCCGGCATGCTGCCAGACTGATGGCCAGAGGGGAACCTGGGGCGGGTACCCTGGAGTACGTGATGCACCTTGAATCGTATGTCACTGGGGATTGCCATTAGTGAGTCACCCCCAAGGAAAGCCAGGAGGGAGAACCTGTGTCCTGAGCCAGACATGAAGCATCTCCGTCAGGGCTGGCAGCCACTCCCTTGTGTGTCTGGGAGGGGTGGCGGTGGGGTGGGAGAGTGGGTGTGTACGTGGCTGCTCACTGAATGTGTGGGTGTGCACATCTTCAAGTGTGTGTGTTGTGCTTACTGTTGACTCACAGCCTTTCTGAGGTTCCTGAAGCTCCTGAGCAATTCTGACCTCTGGCTCATGGCCCCGGGCTGACAGGGCAGCCTGGGCAGCACCCTGGGGTTGAAGGCCTCCCTGGCCTCCCCACAGGCAGAGCCGAGCTGTGTGCGTGCAGGGCAGGCAGGGCTGCTGAACCTGGAAAGGTGGGCTGATGAGAGCCCCGCCCAGGACTTCTGTTGGGATCTCTGGCTATGAGAACAGTTAACGGTGTGTGAGTGCGCAGATGAGCGTGTGTGAAGGGATAGGACTGCCGCTGTTTCTCTGCAACTCCTCTGTGTTGGAGTGTGAGTGTGTGAGTGTATGGCTTCCAGACACTGCTGACTTGGTGTCTTTTGGCGGCAGACTACAGGAAGTTGGCCTGCATCCTGATGGTGTCACCCTTGGACAGGGAGGATGAATAAACACATCGCCTTCTCTGCAAGCAGAGCACGCCTTACGTTTTGGAGATTCTCAGTCTCAACAGACTGTTTTGTCCTCCATGGGATCCTTGGGCTTCCGGGAGCAGGTGGGGCCGCCTGAACCGTGATGCCCTGTGTTGGCCCGGCCGACAGCCAGTGCTGCAGTGAGGGAGGACAGTGCACAGGCACTCATTAATGGCATGTTGTTGGTCACGTTGAGGGGGTAGAATGGAAGTCTGTGGACTAGGTAGGGAACCAGCCTATGTGAGAATAAGGAACTGGCGCCATTGCAGTGAGTGGGCAGGGTGTGAGAGCAGGTGCCGGAGAGAAGCTAGAGCCTGGGAAAGGGGCAGAGTTGAGGGCTGGGCTGGGCTGGAACCCAGCTGCCAGAGGCCTGGGGTGCCTCCCAGAGGTTTGGCGTGACCAGTGGGCTGTTGACACTGCGGCAAGCTGCCCTGGCAGGCTTGTTTGGAGTCATGTTTGCTGCCCTAAGAGGACCTGGGCTTGAATGGGCTAATTGGGTCATGACATTCTGGGGACAGGGAGAAAGGGTCAGCTCTAGAACAGAGGTTCCTTGGAGAGGGAGCAGGTTCAGAGGCACTCCTGACCTGGGGAGGGCCCCAGGGGTCCACACACACACACACACACACTGAGGAGTCCGCCATGCGGCGCTGCACTTGGCAGGGGCGGGTGTCAGCAGCAGAAGAGGGAAGGTTGGGTTAGTGCCAGTGGCTCTGGTACAGAAGGGTGTACAGTTAAGCCAGGGCTGTGGGCACCCCCGCAGAGCAGGAACCATGCGTGCTGTGTGCTCCTGGGCCCCTCTGCCCATTGGGCCTGCACTCACAACTGCACAGGGGCTGCCCCTGGGCTGACTTCTGGTTCCTGGGCTGGCCTTGGCCAGGCTGCTTCCTTCTCTCTGCAGTGGTGGACGGGATGGACAGGGACAACACTGCATCTGCTGTCCTTGCTCTTCCCCACTGGTGGCCAGAGCAGAGGGAGGATGCGTGACTGCCCTGTGCTGAGCTGCCCGGGGCCTGTGCTGGGGAAGACTGAGCCTGGGAACCTGGCCTGGGAGGGCACCATTTCTCCCCCATCCCCAGGAAAGCCCAAGAAACTAGCTGCACAAATTGGAGCCTGACCTTGACCATCTGCTTCAGGTCCTCCTGGTTTCTTTTTTAGTGTTGTGGGCCGGCTCCATGGACTCATTCTTTCAGGGCTGCTTGCCAAGGCCAGGCCCTCAGATTTTTGCCTGGCGCCCTCTTTCAAATTGGCTGGGGCTGGGCTGAGTGTGGGAAAGTGGGAGGAGCTAGAGTTTGGGGATCTCATCCTACGTGAGGCGTGGTGTGAGAGGTCTCCCCTGTGTTGGGTGGTGAGTGAGCCCTATGGTTATGGGAGGAGTTGAGTTCAGGATGATAGGGCCCAGTCTGGGAAGGGACTTCAGGGTTTACCACAGCAACATACTCTGCTATGTGCCTCTTAGACTCTAACCTGAGGGCTGGGGCCTGCATCATGGAGTAGCTGAGAAAGCACAGCTTGCAATGCCAGCAACCCTTACAGGCCCCAGTTCATGTCCTGGCTGCTCTATTTCTAATCTAGCTCCCTATTAAGGCTTGGGGAAAGTGATGGAGCATAGCTCAAGTGTTTAGGCCCCTGCCACCGCCATGGGAGACCTGGAAGAAGCACCTGGCTTCCTCCTAGCCTAGATCCAGTCATTGCAGCAATCTGGAGTGAACCAGTGGATAGAAGACTTAGCATTCTTCCTTTCTCCCTCTGTAACTCAGACTTTCAAATAAGTCAATCTTTGGGGGGCGGGGGAATGTCCAGAAACCCCATGGTGTTTCCTCCTCAGGAGGAAGATGATTAGGCCCTTATCAGTAGCAGCCAGAGACTCTGGGACCAACCTGTGTCAGAACCCCCAGCCCAGGCATTCCTGTCTGTCCCAGGGGAGAAAGGGCCTCTTCCACGGGGGACAGTGGGGACACTGGGGTTTTTTGGCTGTCCTCATGGGAGCCTGACCTGTAGTTGGAGTTCTGGAGCATTCCAGGTATATCTTGAGACTCACTGGGTCTGCACAGGAGTATGGGGCTGGTGTAGCTCAGGGCCAGCCTTACCTCTCCAATGGGCTCACAGCCTGACATGGCTTCTCTCTGGGCAGAATGTGGACCCAGAGCCCCGGAGCCTCTCGCTGGGTGGCCATGTGGGCTTCGACAGCCTCCCGGACCAGCTGGTCAGCAAGTCGGTCACTCAGGGCTTCAGCTTCAACATCCTCTGTGTGGGTGAGTGTCACCACTGGCTGTGTGGGAGGTGGCACGTTGCCTGGCCATATGCTGCTGCCCTTGCCTCCTGACACCATGGGTCAGGGGATGGGTGGTGTCTGCCGGGCCAGGTAGGTGCCATGAGAGCTGTGGGAGTTTGTCTCAGTGATAGCTAGTTTGGCCAGTTTGTTGGTTTGTTGGTGTTAAAAATGCAAACCCTGTTTCTGCTCCTAGCATTGTGTGCTGGGGGCTCCCTGACTGTTTCAGCCTCAAACACAGGGGCTTGGCAAGACTGAGCAACCCTACTGCCCGGGGAAAACTGCCCCTTGCCCCAGCCCTCCAGGTCTTGGGACCCCCATGGGCCAGGCAGGAGGGACCTGCAGGGGAAGCTTTGTGTGCTGGTTGGTGGCTGGGTCCTCTTGAGGCCAGCACAGATCTCTGTCCTGTGGCATCTCCTAGCCACGGTGTCCTCCCTCTCCCCCATTGCCTGAAGATGTGTTCTGTGTTTCATGTAGCCGTGTCTGGCTTCCAGGTCTAACCCCATGACTCACTCTCCCCAGGGAAGGGTTTGAGTGGGGTGAAAGGAGGTGCGGAGGGTGGGAGGAGCAGCCCTGTCTGCTGTGTGGGGCGAGGGTGCCAGGGAGGTCTCGGTCCCAGCCCTTGGCACCCCTCTGCCCCTGCGTCCCTGCCACCCAGGGGAGACCGGCATTGGCAAGTCCACCCTGATGAACACGCTCTTCAACACGAACTTTGAGACCGAGGAGGCCAGCCATCACGAGGCCTGCGTGCGCCTGAGGCCCCAGACCTACGACCTGCAGGAGAGCAACGTGCACCTCAAGCTGACCATTGTGGATGCTGTGGGCTTCGGAGACCAGATCAACAAGGATGAGAGGCACGAGGCGGGCAGGGCCCAGTAGGAACAGCCTAGGGCCCGTAATCCAGGGAGGCACGGGAGGGTGTCCCCGGGAGTTTCAGAGGCTCTGTGGCCTCTAGCTGCCCTCTTGCTGACCCACTCCTCCATAGAGGGATTGGTGGAAGGGTCAGCAGCCTGTACCAAGGAAGGGATCCCCTATAGGGACAGCCCAGGTGCCCACCCAGCTGTGTGGCCGCCTCCCGGGTGATGGAGCTATGTGTAGTTACAGGCCCATCGTCGACTACATTGATGCGCAGTTTGAAAGCTATCTGCAGGAGGAGCTCAAGATCCGCCGCTCTCTCTTCGACTACCACGACACCAGGGTCCATGTCTGCCTGTACTTCATCACACCCACCGGGCACTCCCTCAAGTCCCTGGACCTGGTGACCATGAAGAAGCTGGACAGCAAGGTGTGGGTGCTCCTGGTTCCTAGGGTCCCCCCATATCCCTCTGTCCCGTAGAGCCCCCAGGGAGCTGCTCAGGAACCTGTGGACAGCCTCCTGGACCCGGTCCCCTGTGTGTTCTGTCCCACAGCTGTGCCTGTTGCTTCAGCGGTCTCTCTTGCCCTGGGCTCTTTCTCTGTCTGCTGAGTCTGGCCCTGGGTCTCTCCTGGTAGCTGAGCTGGTTTTCACTTTTGGCCTTGCGGGCTTCACTTCCTTTTCTGCTTTCCACCTAGGTCTCCCCTGTGCTCGCTTCCTCTCTTCTCCCCACGTGCTTGCTCCTGCCATGCCCTGTTCCCCTCTCCCTGGCACAAATCCCTCCTGGGTCTCCCATCCCCACCCCTAAGTTCTCTGGGGAGAGGAGCGAAGTCCCGGAGTTGAGTGGGCATGGGAAGAACAGAGGAGGCAGCTTCTCAAGGATGTCAGGAAGGGCCATGGTCTTGGACAGCAAGTGACTGCACAGTCACCTACCCAAGACCCTGTGACTACTCTCCCCATCTTGGGGACTACATTTCATTGGAGGTTACATTTCTCAGGGTAACCTTGACCTGGGAGATCCTGGGATCTTCCTGAGGTGACTGCAAGTGGATTATCTTACTGTGCAGTAGGGAGCTGGGCCCCCTGCCCATGCTTCTCCAGGCCCCTGCAGTTAATTAAGGCTCCCAGAGCATTCTAGGTTAAAGTTGGGTATGCCCAGGGGGCCTGGGGTGGGGGCCAGATCATGGCCTGAAGGGAACCATGGCTGTCAGGAGCTGCTGCACCTGCTGGCTCCAGCCCTGCTGAATGTGCAGAAGAAGCTGGCATTGGACTGGGCATTGGAGCACCTGCTTTCTGGCTCCCTGCCTCTCCCAGGGATGTGGCCTGGGCAGGGTTACCCACTGTCAGGGAGTCATCGCTCAAACCAGTGACCTGCTGTGTCCCTTCTTTTGTCCTGGCAGGTGAACATCATCCCCATCATTGCCAAGGCTGACACCATCTCCAAGAGCGAGCTCCACAAGTTCAAGATCAAGATCATGGGTGAGCTGGTCAGCAACGGGGTCCAGATCTACCAGTTTCCCACAGATGACGAGGCTGTCGCAGAGATCAATGCAGTCATGAATGTGAGTGTCCGACCGGGCTTCAGGGGCTGGGGAGCTGGCAGAGATCTCAGACACGGTTCCAGAAAACACTCTAGGGTCCACCCTTAGCTTCTGTGGGATGGACGGGTGGGCATTAGGAGCCTGTCAGTCCCATGTCCTGTGGGCGGCAGCAGGAGGAATCAGCTACAGGGCTAGCCCTGGGGCTCCCTCAGGATTTGAGAGGGGGCACAGAGCAGGATCCTGTAGGAGTGAGCAGGCTCCAGGCTTGCAATCTGTAAAAGATCTTGGCCCTCAGGGTCTGTTCAGGGAGCTCTGATATCCACTGGGAGGCCTGCATCTGGAAGAAACACTGAGTAGTCTGGGGCCACAGGAAAGAGGAGTCCCTCCCTATTGGGAGGTCCCCGGACACTTCTACAGAGGAGAGCTGCTATGTGAGCATCCAGCCCCAGGACCTTTGTCCAGGTTTGGCCTCTGCTCTGTGGCCCTGGGCAGTGGGCATGGGTGTGTGTGTGGCCTGTTGGTCAGCCTGTGAACATGGGGCCCCTTTCCAGGCGCACCTGCCCTTTGCTGTGGTGGGCAGCACCGAGGAAGTGAAAGTGGGCAACAAGTTGGTGCGTGCCCGGCAGTACCCCTGGGGCGTGGTGCAGGGTGAGTGCCGGACTCGGTCCCCTCCATGCCCGCTATCTCCTGCATTCCCCTGGTGCTGCCCCCCAACACGCCTGTATGTCCTCGGCTTGCAGTGGAGAACGAGAACCACTGTGATTTTGTGAAACTGCGGGAGATGCTGATCCGCGTGAACATGGAAGACCTCCGTGAGCAGACCCACACCCGGCACTACGAGCTCTACCGGCGCTGCAAGCTCGAGGAGATGGGCTTCCAGGACAGCGACGGCGACAGCCAGCCCTTCAGGTGACTGCCTGCTCGGGCCGCAGCCGGGTGCACCGTGCAGGCATCCAGCTAAAGGCTCACATGTTGCGGGTAGGGGGTTGTTGCGAGCCAGGGCAAGACCCTCGTGAGCAGGGCCGTTCTCTGGCCCCACCTTGCTTCCCTCTGCCACAGTCCGACTCTCGTCCTTTCCTGTTTGGGTCTCCGTAGCCTACAGGAGACGTATGAGGCCAAGAGGAAGGAGTTCCTGAGCGAGCTGCAGAGGAAGGAGGAGGAGATGAGGCAGATGTTCGTCAACAAAGTGAAGGAGACAGAGCTGGAGCTGAAGGAGAAGGAGAGGGAGGTGTGTGCGGGAGTGAGGGGCCAGGGGGGCACGGGGGTTGGGGTGGGACAGGTCTGGTGCCTTCCCAGCCCACGCTGAGGTCCCGCCCGTCCCCTTCTGTTCACAGCTCCACGAGAAGTTCGAGCACCTGAAGCGGATCCACCAAGAGGAGAAGCGCAAGGTAGAGGAGAAACGCCGGGAGCTGGAGGAGGAGAGCAGCGCCTTCAGCCGCAGAAAGCTGGAGGTCCTGCAGTCACAGGCCTTGCAGGCCACCTCCCAGCAGCCCCTGCGCAAGGACAAGGATAAGAAGAAGTAGGTGGCGGCTCCCGCCCAGCTGGCCCCCTCCCACGCTGGCCCCCTCTGCTGCTCTCTATGCCCTTGGCTTCTGCTTTGCTCTTGCTCCTCTCTCTCTCTCTCTCTCAATCTTTCTCCCAGGAGTTTGTTTTGCTCTTCCATTTTCTACTGACCCTTCTGCCCCTGTCTTGCTCACTGTCCTTTTTCTTCCCTTTGGTCCTCCCTGGTCATCGTGCTGTCACCATCTGCCTCTCAGATGACCATGCACTCTGCCCTCCTCTTTCTCGCTCCTTTACTTCACCTCACTGTGTCCCTGCAGCAGCTGGGGCTCTGGGATACAAGGCAGGGAAGGGCTCTAACTGGAGCTGCAGGTCTCAGGGAAGGAGCTGCGGCCAGGCCAGAGCCAGGGCCTAGGAAAGCCCGCATGTGTGGCAGGGATCCAGAAGTCCCGTGGTGATTGCCTGGACAGCCATGGTGAGGCAGTGGCCACAAGTGGTGACCAAGCATGCTGGGGACACTGTGCTCCCCGGGCAGCTGGTCTGCAGGGCCTGTTGGCTGGGAGGAAGGCCAGCGGCTCCTTGCAGGGGCTCTGGCTTTTGCAGGGATGGGAGGCTGGCTTCCGGCACAGGCTGGGCTTGTCACTACAGACAGAGAGGAACACAGGGTGGCAGGGTTTGCCCCGCCCTCTGGGAGGATAGTTAGCTCTGAATCCCTTCTCCTTGGCCTTCTTACCTAGCTCCACACTCTCCCTCCATCCCTGTGTCCCTCACATGTCTTTCATAGCCTGTGCCATAGCCACGTCGCACTGTGAGGATCTGGTCCTTCCCTGCCTGTCCCTGTTCTTGGCTGACCCTCTCCTGCCAGGCCCACCCCTCCTGGCCTCCATTCTCAGGCTGCATTTCCTCCTGGAGTCTTTGGGTGAATTCCTGCCCAGGCCTGCCCATCCTTGGTGGCAACGGAGCCTAGTGGTGTGGGCTGAGAAATGCGCCATTGGCAGGCCTTGGGATGCCGCTTCTGGCGTTGATAACATTCCTCTTTGCATTCCCTAGCATGACCTGGCACATGCACACACATGCACATGCAGGTATGTGCACAAACTACCTGGTGTCACTCCTGCCCCATCACATCTGTCAGCACACAGAGCACAGAGACACACAAACATAGGCTATAAAGTATGAGGGGCTCCTCCCTGGGCCAGACCGGCAAGGTAGAGGCAGGGCCAGGCATTCAGTAATCAGATGCTGTCCACCCCAGGCACACCCTCAGCTTCCCTGGTTTCCCCATCCCAGTGCCCAGTGGATGTACACCTGCTACTGGCTGGCTGTGCTGGGACAGGCAAGCTTTGCCCTTCCCCAGAGAGAACCTTGGCTCTGTGCCCTTCCCAGCTCCAGGATGCATCTCTGCTTTGCTTTTGCTTCCTGTCCTAGTGCCATGTCCAGCTCCTGGCTTGGCAGGTGTGGGGGCTGGGCTGGAACTGGTGTTGAGTTTCAAGCTGGTGGCTCAGAAAGAAATTTCTCCCAGGAGGCAGGTGGAAGCTAATAACCCAGGTGCCCACACCAAAGTGACTCCACTCTGCCCCCTGCCTGTGGGGCCAGGCCTTCAGGTGCAAGAGATGGCTGAGGCATTGCCCTGGGCAGCCTCAGTGGGGGCTGTGACCAGGTGTCTGGGCTTGGGGCTGGGGCACATCCTCAGGCCTGTTATGTTAGCTGCACCTGTCGGAGCTTCTGTCAGTTTGGTGAACAAGAGCAAGCTCTCTGCGGGCCTTGGGGGACCAGGGGTTGGGTGAGGAGGGGAATGGGGCAGGGGTGGCTGAGTGTCTCTTCCTGCTGTCCTGGTTCAGGGAACGGGCTGGGTCAGGAGTGTGTTGCAAGGCTAGAGGGAGTTATGACAGGTCTTTTTCATGATCCTTTCCTTGGGCAGCTTTGATTGGTTATATTTTACTCTTTATGTTTTAATCCACTTTTGCCAATTGCCTCACAGTCAGATCTTGACCCCTAGCCCGGGATGCCGCTGCGGTGAATTCTCTGCTTTGCTCCTCACACATGCCAAAGAGCCTGCCCTGCCCGGTCCCTGGTGTCCGTCTCACTGTCTCCTGTTCAGTTTGGTTTGGTCTGCATACCTTTTAACGTGTCCATTTCGTTGTGTTTGTTTGATTTTTATTTTTCAGTTAACGCACATTCAGACTTATGCGCTGAGGGTGGACTTTAGACTGTCATGCGTTAATTTGCTTGCGTTGCGCCCTGTGGCCCTTCTCCCATAACCCGGTGTGAGGATGGACTGGGAGCCGGGACAGACGCCAGTGTTTACAGCCTCGCTTGGGGGCCCCGGGCCGCCCTTCTCTATGCAAACTCAGAAAAGCCATGAATGCTGGAATCCAAAACTGACAAGGTTTATTTCTTTCAGAGCCAGTGGCTGGTCTTCCATTTACAGTGTCACTATCCCCTGAGGCAGCTGTGACGGGCCTGCCGGGCATGGCCCCAGCTGGCGGTGCCGGGCATGCGTCTAGCATCCAGCAGGAGTGTCCCGCCTGAGCGTCCAGCTTGTGGCGCGGCCCTTGGGACAGCCACCCGGCCCAGTAGACATGCTGCATACTTTGCCTGTTCCCCTTCCTTTGAATTTTTCTAACCTCGAGCTTAATTTTTATAATAACTTTCCAACACTTACACTTTTTTTCATTTGGGCACCAGCATAAAGACAAATAATACCCTCTCCATTATTTTCATAAAGTAACCCAGACTTCTTGGTTATTTTTTAAACTAAAACTACACCTCTAAACCTCCCTTGTGTATGAAGCACCCTGCTCGCCTGCAGTAAACGAGCAGGGAGAGGTGGGCAATAAACGTCCTAGAACAACAGTGTTGGGAACTTCTTTCCGGATGACAATGGAGCCAGGGCAGGAGCCTGGGCCACATTTTCACTGTGAATGTAAATGGAACAGCAGCCCTCAGCCGCCGCCCGCGTGCCCTGCAGGTGTCACATGTAAGCAGGGACACCCGCACCACGCATGTGTTCCGTATGGGAGTCTGACTTGAGTTCCCAGACCAGTCCTGCATTTTGCACATGCGCAGGTGCCGGGAGGGGCAGGACTGTGGCCTGCCAGCCACCAGCTCCTCCGTCCCACGCTGGAGAGGTGGAGGAGCGAGTGGTCAACAAGCTTCCCACTCCAGCAGGACTCTGCAGAGCATCGTTTGTGGAAAGTCCTCTGGTGCGGCAGGGAGACTTTGGAAATATGGGCTGGAAAAGATGGCTGTACCTTTGGTGCAAAAACTGAAATCCATGCAGAGTTTTTGTTTTTCCTGGTGCATATATTTCGTGAACCTTTTTTGAAGAAGACGTGTGCATGGATTGCAAGATTCGTTTGGCACCAAAATAACCGCGTTTTCGTTCTGTTTTCCACGGACATTGGAAGTAACACTTGAACTGGTAGCATTGAATCCTCTGTGCTCCTGTTGGTTTGCAAGTGAAGGCACAGGGGGGATATGCTGAGGAATTGGGAAGAAAGGAGTCCTTTCACGGTGGTACAGCCTGGCGCCAGGCCCTGTCTCCCACATGCCCTTGCTGGGAAGCCCCCAGCCATGCCCATGTAGTACTGGGTTATCTGTTTTCCATGCGTCCTATCTCCCCAGCTCTCGGCTCTGTCTCCCTTCTGACTGGTCTGCTCTAGTGCTACCCAGGATGCTCAGGTGTTCTGCCTTTCTCAGACGATGTAAGGGAGGCGGAGGGCAGCCAGGAAGGGGCTGGGGCCTTCCTTCACCCTCAGCAGAGCAGGCTCTGCTGGTGCTGTCAGGGAGCAGCCCCAGGTGCTATGCCCTGACCGGGAGGGCATACAGATTTTATGGGGCTGGAGGCCTGCACTATTTTGAAAGGATTTCTTTAAGAAAGCCAGATGTAGAGTTAGGCGCCAGGCCTCGGGAGGGCCCTAAAGACGTCACCTCCTTGGCTTCATAATCGGTCTACTTCTGGCTGTGACCAAGAGTGGGGCCTCAGAGTGGCTCCTGACCAACGTGAGTTCGCATCTCTAAGCAAACATGGTGGCCAGCAGCTCCTGCTGAGGGCCACACCTTGCCAGAGCATGTATGTATAATTGGGTCCTGCCTCTGTCAGGAGAGGTGGCCCAGTGCCCTGCAGCAGGACCCCTGGCTCATGGGCCACCCTGGGAACCTCCACAGTGAGCAGTCTGCCACCCATGCCCCCATAGTCTGTGGGCCCAAGGCTTCCCTGCTTCTCTGGGGGAAGACAGGGTGTCCCTGGGGGTCTGGGCTACCTCCACAGGTGCTTTGTGACACCCTTTCCCCTGCTGTCTGAACCCACAATTTTGTCTTCTTCAACTGAGACCAAAGTAATCTTTGACTCACAAGGTGAGTTTCCAATTGGCCTTTGTTTAGCAAGCCGCCTGTCATGGAATGCTGGGCCCCACCTGCTGGCTGCCACTTAGCTCGTACTGGTTTTCGTGGGCATTACTAAAGCTATCATAGAGGACCAGGTTGGCCTGTACTCCCATGTCTTTGAGGAACCATGCTGCTTTGAGGCAGAGTCACCATGTCATGTACCATCCCCTCCTGGACTTTGGGGAGAGACACCAGGGGTGCTGCTGACCGCTGTGCCAGGTGCTGTAGCAGGCATGGACTGGGCAGAACTGCCCCCAGCCCCAAGGCAAACCGAGTCTAGGTGGTTTAGGACTGTGCCGACTGTGGTTGTGTGTCTGTGTGTGTCCATGTGCCTCCCAGGAAGCAGGGCCTGAGTTACTGGATCAGAGGCCAGAAGGTATGTGGCTTGCTCATCTGTTACGATAATATGCTTTTCTAAACCGGCTTCATTTGTTGATTCATTTATGCCTCCATTTGTACACTATTTTTATTCCTTTCCATTCACTTTGTACTCATTTTTTTCCCCATTAAATTTTGGCATTTCTTTTGAGTTTTTATGGTGTCTTTTTGTTTTGGCAATAGCTTTTCTGACGTAACTAGTACCCTGAGCCTGTTCACCTGCTACAGCTGCGATCAAAATGCAACTTGTCTTATGTGCTCCTCTTGGGGGTTGATTTCACATTTGCATTGCGTATGCTGCTGTGGACATGGGCAGAAGGTGGATGCGTGGGTGTGAGAAGGGCGGGAGGAGCAGTTGCAGTGAGGAGCCGAGGTGAGCACAGAGCTCAGGAATGTTGGTGGGTCCAGGTGCTGGTCAGCCCTGCAAGGAGGCTTGGCATGGGCTGGCAGATACAGAGTTGCTTCTCCTGTGTCATGCTTCAATGCCTCTAATCCTCCTCATCATCCTATGTTCAGATACCACTGTTCCTCCCACAGCGACCCTGTTACCATTCACAGGCATTGCACCAGGCACAAAGAGGTTAAGCCATGAGCCAAGGTTGTACAGGGAGTCTCTGGAGAAACTGATCTGAATTTTGGCTGTCTGTACTGTTGAATGATGAGCTACAGGCTGGCTCCGATGAAATGATGGAAGAACAGCAGAAAGTGGCAGTGTTGAAGGGCCTAGCAGTGCTGAGATGGTGTCATCATGATGGGAAGCCCCCAGGGACAGGAACATGTTGGGCTAAAGAACAGGCCAGTGGTTGAAGGGAGTCATAATGAGGGTACATGAACCCATTTGTTGAGCTTGGTCTACCAGGCATTAGGAAGAGAAACAAGCAAAATGAGGCAGTGGGAATTGAGGTCTGGGGAGCTCGAGGAGAGTGTGAAGATGATAATGGTCAGCTGCACCTATGGGAGGCGGGAAGGCAAAGTCCTCACCCAGCTTTGGAGGACACCGTATCCCCACTCCCATCCCATGGCAAGGCAGCCTGGGCCCCAGTGGGCCCTCAGGACTGACTGGAGGTGCCAGAGGGCAGTCGAGGCTACCACGGGGAGCTGTGGACCAGAGCAGCCAGCCCTTGTCACAGCCACTGGACTAGGGCTTGGCTGCTGATGGTATACGATGTTCACTCCAGCCAGGCTAAGCTCAACAGGAGCCCTTGTGTGGGAAGATGCTGTTGGCATTGCTAGCAGCTTTATGTCATTTCTGCAGAAGCTCCAGCAAACCAAAGTGGAAGGCAGAGGTGTGTGCTGACTCTAGAAGCCGGCTCTCCCAGCCTGGTGACGGCTGGGCCGGGTGCACATCCAGCCTGGCCCACATATCCGCAGGACAAGCTCTGCAATGCGAGGATGTCACAAAGCACCTCCAGTTGGGTCCCACGGCCATTCACAACCCAGCTGGCGGCGGAGGCAGCTGCAGGCCACTGCTCAGAGGCAGCTCTGTGGGCCCAGGGCTTCAGAGAGGCAGCTGGCTTCCGCCCGCAGCCAGGGCAACCTCCCCCTGGGAACACAGTGCACACCTGCTTGCCCCGACAAGCAGCTCCCGGGCATCGCAGAGGATGTCCCCCAGTTAGACTTAACACCCGTGACTTGGCCTGCCTGCCTGAGAGAAAGTGGCTGCATGGTCAGTGGAACACACACCAATCCCGGTACTTTTTTTTTTTTTTTTAATCCCCAGTACTTGTGAAGGAAGACCTGAGGCCTGACTGACTCAGGGCAGATGTGTCTGCTTAGACCCCCATCTCTGGGGTGACAGCCAGGGTGGGTGGGCCTGGAAACACTGCACAGGAGTCTGGGAGAAGCCTGGGAGGTGAGTCAGCAGGAGGCAGAAGGCAGGCCCCACTTCAGCCCCCTTTTCCAGCTCTGCGCGACAGTCGCAGTCTTCACCGGATGAGGAAAGAAAAGCCAGAGAAGTTGGAGGCTGCATTCATTCGTTCGTTCGTTCTCCCTAGGCTCGGGCCCTTTGAGACACGGGGAGGCTAGGGTGTGCTCTAGCAGCCACACTTGGGTTGCACCAGACCTTCCCTGCCACCCTGGCCCTGGTGTTCCTCAGATTTCAGCCAGGAACACTGCCTCAGGTGCTTGTCCAGGGCCTTCTTGCCTCCTAGTTATGCGATTCACGGAGCCCAGAGCTGTGCTGTGTGGGTGCGAGATGGGGCAGGTGCAACAGGAAGCATGTGCACAGGAGAGCGACTACAGAGTCCTCAGCTGCTGTCTGACGAGTTCCTTGCAGGACATGTACTGCTCCATGTTGACCTGAGTAGGAATAGAGTGCCAGCCTTGGGCAGGAGCCTCTGAGGCCATGAGGAGTGGACAGCAGGGTGCCAGTGTGTGACTACAGAGCCAGCTAAGGAAGGCCTGCTTGCCCTCCCTGCACACTAGCCTCACCCCCAAACCTTGGGGAACTCTTTCCCCTCAGTAACTGTCAGTAGTTCTACCATGCATTATAGTCTAATGAATCCATCTGGGGGAGATGCTGGCAACCCATGCCCTCTGGCCCTCCACCCCTGTAATCTGCCTCATGTTATTCCTGGTGCCTGGCACATACATTCATGGGAAGTGACTGGGGTCTGGAGTCAACACTTCCTGTGCTACACTCAGAGCTGCTTCCTCCCAAGCAGAATGTATCCCCACTGTGGATCCTCGTGGATGCGGGGCTGCCCATGGAGAGAGTCTCTTGCCACTAGGGAGCCCCACTCTCATCAGCTCAATGGAGGGAACCTGTGTCCATTAAGTCCATAGACCATGGCCAGGTGTGGGAAGCCTAAAACTCAGGGAGACTCCTGGCAGAGCTGTCTGGAGTTCTAAAGAACCATGGAGTGCCATGGGATGGGAGAGCATGCCAGCCAGAGGGGCACAGCTCTGAGCCTGGTGTAGGGCCAAGTTGATGTCTACCTGTGCTTTCTTCAGCAGATCAGATGTAGGAGCGCAGCAGTCGGGCATGAGCTTGTCCAGCTCTAAGGTGATGATGACCAAGGCCAGTGTGGAGCCCTTGAACTGCAGCAGCTGGTGGCCCGCCATACAGTGCTGCAGCTGCTTGGTCAGGGATGCGACGTGGAGGGAAGGATTCCTCTGAAGCTGCAGCATCTGCTCCTGGGGCCAGCTCACGACAATCAGGCCGTGGAACTGGAGAACAGGATTTTTTAACTTTAGAATGGAAAAACCCCCTCCTTTTCCTACGTCAATGACCAGAAGTGCAAACCATTGAACTTCCCATCAGAGAGCACCTGGTGTTACCAAACCCTGTTTATTCTTAGTCATGGCCCCACCAAGGTGGGCAGGGCAGGGGAGCAGTGGAGTCGGGGGGGCTTGGGGGGGCCAGTGAAAGAGGCTTAATGCCCGCTGGGTGGCCAAGCAGAGCTTCGACTCTGGAGAGACAGAGTGTATTGTAGGACAAGGTCCTTATCAGTTTAAAAGGACCTAGTTGACAATGTTTCCATTCTGAACAAAAAGACACATTAATCAAGCTCAAAGTAGCAGAAAAGTTACTTGTATCAGCTTGGAGAGAAGAAACTCTAACTTGGCAACAGTGGCCATTTTTCAAAAGAAACATCCCTTAATGATTGAATCTCCAAGCCTCCCAACAGCCCAAACCGCTCAACATTGCCACATCAAGTAATTTTGCCTTACTAACAGAATCCTGTCCTGACAGATGATGCCCACATCCCAACTCCGACAAACACAAACTAATGAATGCTATTTTTTTAAGTGCCAGATCAATATGGTCTAAAGCCTCAGTAAGGATTGTGTGTAGGTGAATCGAGACAGCTAAGTGAATGTGTGTATAAAGTGAGCAAGATAGATATTTATGTACAATATTCTTAGAATGCAAAGTCCAATATTTTTGCAGCAAGTATTCAAAAGAGTAAATTAACCACAGTCATGCCGTTGTAAACACTTTTTTGTAAAGTTAACCCAGTATCCTTTCCAAGTGCGAGTCTGATGGACTGGTGTTGAACTTGAGATACGTCTCCCCCTTCTGTATGTCATGAGCCTTGTGGGTCACCCCCTGTGTGGCGCATGTACAACAACGTGTGCGTGGACGTGCTTGGCCGTCCAGTGTGTGAACAGCTGTTCCAAAGGCAGATTCTGCAAACCCCTCATGCTTACTATAGTCAAAAAGTCCAGTGGCGTCGCAAGATACAGGTCCCAATGCAGTTTGTCCAGAATGGTCAGCTCCATCCTCAGCAGCTCATTTGGGCTGTAGGCAGGGCCGTAGTGCTCTATGAAGTCTTTCACCTGTGGAACTAACTGTAAAAGAAAAAAGAGAGAAAGAAAATAAAGAGGCCAAGGCCCTATACCATGTCATAGCAGCTTCTGTTTTCTTCTCCCTGGGGACCAGGCTCCATGACCTCCTTGGGCCTGCCCAAGTGCTTCTCAAAGGCCAGACCAGACCCCAGCTGTGTTGGGACAGCTCTAAGGAAATTGTGATGACATGTGTGACCATCACACGGAGACCCTCTGTGAACAGGTCTCCATCCGCAGTTGCATGCCGGCAGGCACTCACGTGAGGGTGCCCTGGTGGCTGTACCTACATTACCTCCCCGTCCAGTCAAGCACTCCAGCAGCCTCGGTTGGGCTCTGGCCATCCCTGCTCCTGATCCCTCCCTGGTTACTTGCCATACAAGCACCAGACAGACCCATTAATACTGCCACTACGATCATTCCCTTCTGCCTTAATTTAAGGTGGTTCACGGGAAATTAATGATGCTCCTGCCCCTGCTCTGGGGGTCGGAGTGGAAGAATATTAAGGCTAGTGTTTGAGCAAACATGCAAGGGACAAATGCAATGAAGACTGGATGTCACCATTCTAGCGAAAGGAAGTATTGTTGTTAATTCCTAGAAATGGTTCGAGGGTCACTGGCATGGTTTTCAGTCGCATGAAAGCAACTTTCTCCAGGGGGATGGGGAGGCACAGAGCCGTTCTAATCCACAGGGGCTGAAGACATTTGTATTGAGAGTTTGGAATGGGAAGTACACAGGCAACTTTTTTTTGTATTGCTCCTCAGAGCCAGAGATGAGCTGAGAGAGGCCTTGCAGCCTGGGAGTGTTCCTGAGGACTAGAGTGGGAGGGCTCAGAGCTCAGGGCAGGGGAGGTGTGGCCTGAGAACTGGCCTGAGGCCCCGAGGCAAGTCCACCCCAGCCTGGAGAACTGGTGGCCACTTTTCTCTACCCTCTTGCCCTCATGTGCCCAGCCTTCCTGCCCCTTTTAGCAAAGCATTCTAGAATCCCCGGACCATGTTCATGGCCATGGTCACTCTAGGTCTCCAGCAGCTTTCTTAAACCTGGTTTCTAGGGAGTGGCCATGGGCCCACATGGGTGGAGCGGCCTTCAGGACAAGGCCAATCCGCCAGGGGTCAGGCTCTAGCTTTGTTGGCCAGGAGGCTTCAGCTGTGTTCCTCTGTCTTGGGGGGACGGTGGAGGAAAAAGGAGGGTCCCCAGGGTCCAGCAAGCCTAAGGAATGGGCAAGAGAGGTCCCAGGAAGTTAGGGACTTCTCCCCACTGCTCCTCCATTTCAAGGGCCCAGGCCTTTTGTGGAGACTGGCAGCCAGCATACCTCCCAGCACACACACCTCGTCCTCCTCCTCAACTTTCACAGCCAGTCTCAGGGAAGCAACAGCTGCAATGTGGAGTAACTTCTCCTTCACCTGCAGTACACAGTAAGCGCATCTGGGGAGAATCTGGACCCGAAAAGTGCAGGCACATACACCCCGCCTCAACACACCAAGTGAGGGCCTCCCATTTGCCCAGTGTCCACCCCTTGCTTCTGCTTCCAACCAGAAGCAAGGCCCCCCAGGAGCCATTGTCTGCAGGCACAGGCTGCTGCAGGGGCGTCCACCTATCAGGCAGCAATGGGAGTGTCTTGGGCCTCTCACCATCCCTCCCAGGCTGCCCTACCTTTCCTGAAGCCACGAGGCGGCTGAAGATGGTCAAGGCCAGGTTGAACGTGGCTAAATTGAAGTCGAAAATGTTGGGGAGCTGCAGGAGCTCCTGTACAATGCCCTGGAAGGCGGCGCAGACCTCGGGCTACAGCAAAGAGGAAAGGGCAGAGGGCAGTGAGGGTGGCCGTGGCAGAAGCAGCCTTCCTGTAGGCACTGGAGCGCATACAAGAGGCCATTTGCTTCATCGTGATCCATGGGACCAGGTGCCTCAGTGCCAGGCCTTGAGGCTCACCCCACTGCAACCTGCCCTCTCCCTGAGAAGGAAACCGGTCAGACAAGAGAAATGAGGAAAGCGCCTGTGAGGCGCCACACCTGACCAAGGGGCCAATCTCCTGGGCGTCTAGCACTTGAACCAGGTGCACACCACCCCGTCTGTTTTCCCTGTGAGTGTGCTGGTACCTGGGGTTGGTCACCTCGCCACTGGCGAGCCTCGCGGTCCTGGGTCAGCTGCAGGCGGATAAGCAACTGGGGCTCCCTCACGATTTTTGCGTCGTTGGGCCGCAGCCATAGGTCCCACTGAAGCAACTCTGGCAGGGGCAGTAAGGGCCCGAACGTGGCCACAGGTTGCTGAGCGCGCGCCGCGGGGCGCTGGGGTCCTCGCCCCGACGGGGTCAGGGAGAATGAGGCTGCCCCTGACGGGCGTGACTCCAGGTGTCTATTCCACGAAGCCGGCACAGAGGCGGACCGTGGACGTTGTGGGAGCAGACAGCAAAGGGCCTCCTGGTCCGGACTTCTGACTGAGGTCCTCCCATGGCTTACTCTGGAGGGTGAAAGCTTTCGCTCGTCCGAGGCCATGAGACAAGCAGGATCCCTTGTGTGGGGCACCATGTTGTAACTCGGTTTTTTATAACCCAGAACTTGGGCGCGCAGCTGAGGCTGCCTCCGGTATAGGCGGGTTCAGCTGCTACACCTGTAGCTTCTTCTGGGACTCTGGAAGCTGTCCCCCCAAAGCGGCCCCAACGGCCAGAACTGAGCCCATCCGAAGCCAGGAGCCTGGAGCCTCTTCCAGGACTCCCACGTGGGTGCAGGGTCCCAAGGCCTTGGGCCGTCCTCTCCTCGACTGCTTTCCCAGGCCACAAGCAGGGAGCTGGATGAGAGGCAGGGTTGCTGGGATTAGAATTTTGGCGTTCAATATGGTATCCTGGCACGTGCAAGGCAAATACTTTAGTTACTAGGTTACAGCACGGGACCCATCTTTCAGATAATATATATATTTTTTTAATGAAGAGTTCATACTGTACGACTGACTCTGTTAAAAACAGAGCTAGTTTATCACGTTCATTGCCGTGGCCCTTAGGGGTGGGTGGATAACGGCTAGAAAAAAGCACAAGGAGCTTGTGGAGGGATAAGGCCCCAACAAACACGTGGGAGACCCAGGTGGAGTTACTGGCTCCTGGCGTCATCCTGGCCCAGTCCTGCCGTGTGGGGCGTGAACCAGCTGGTGGAGAAATGTCTGCCTTGCTCCCATTTCCTCTCTTAAATCTGCCCTTGAAATACATTAAACAAATTTTTTTAAAAAATGATTCATATTTTCACACCTTATCTCTAGTTCCTGTGAATCCCAGGGGGACCGCCAGAGATACCTAAGCCCTGGGCAGGAAACAGCCTCCTGTTTAAATACAACACACATCAGCCAGTTACGTAAATGACAGCAGCATTGTACGTTAAGACAATGAACAACAAGAAGGCTGAGTATGTTCAGTATAGACGTGGTTGTTTTTGGAAAATTTTCCCACCCGTGGCTGCCTGATATCCCAGAGGCAGAAGTCAGGAATGCTGGGGAGTGACTGCATCCTGGCAGCGCATCCTCATGCCAGCAAGGAAGCCAGTTCGGTGCTCAGCTGCCTTAGGAAGGCCTGGCACAGAGGGCGAGAGGGCGGCTCCCTTGGGCCCCACTGAACATCGGATGTCGGGGAACAGAGGGAGAGACCGTGGCTCTGATCCGTGCAGCTGTCGGAGTTCAGTTTCCAGTCATGGGGGGGGGGGGAGGAAAGACGTGTGTGCTGGGGCGCTTTTGGGGGGGACAGGCCCCCAAAAAGAGGTAGGGATGCAGAGTAAAAGTTTCCGTTTTGTGCGGCAGTTAAGCTGGAAGTGCCTTTCGCACCTCCAAGAGAGGGCTTTGGGCGCGAAGGATCATTGGCCCTTTCACAAAGGTTTGCTGAAATTCTGCGTGCACCGGGCGGTTAGAGACGCTGGGAGATGGGCCACCTAAGGGTAAGAGCGCAGCTCAGGCCTTAGTTTTCCAGCTGGGACGCAAAGTACAATGGTTGTTGACGTTCGGGATACTCCAGGTGTCACAAAATTGGCCTTGACGAACCCGAGCGCGCCTCCTCCTCAGGCTCGCGCCTGCCAGGTGTGGCCGCCTCACCGCCCGCGCGACGCCCAGCGCCGCGGCCCGGCAGCACTGCGCAGGCGCCGTCTCCATCTGGCGTCCTAGGAGATGAGCCCGGGCGGCCTCCGCGCAGGCGCACTTTAGGATGCCAGGACCCCGAAAGCGGAGCTGGGGCGGGGCGCGCTCGGAGCGCGCCTGCGCACTGCGTGCTCTCGCCCGAGGAGCCGCATTCTCGGGAGCGTCCAGGAGGTGTCCGGGCGTCTCTGGACAGCGTCTCTCGCCCACGCAGGGTCGTGTCGAGCCGTGTCGTTGGGCCGCACCCCGGGCGGGGACGTCCGCCGGGCACGGGAGGGCGTCACGATGCCGGTGAGGAGGGTCGCTCGGCCGCGGGAGATTCCTCCTCCGTGAGGCCTGGCCCGGGGGCGCGGCCGTTGCCATGGAGGCGCGGAGCCGGCGGGCGGCCCGGGTGGGGCGGAGCCGGGCGGTTACGGGAGCTGGCGGGTGGGCCCGAGGCTCGCGGGGGGCCAGTCCGTCCCGGGAGGGTCCTGGGGGCGAGGCCCGTGTCGCCCGCATCCCCCGCTCATCCCGGGGGCCTGCGCTCGTGGCGGCAGGATGCGCTCTGGCACCCGGGCGCTGCCCGCTGGCTAGGGCATCTTGGGGGCGGCCGCCGAGGTCCGTGGGCCTGCGGGAGGCGGCAGAGCGGAGGCCGGGAGCTGGCGTTCCCGTGTCGCTCGCGGGGCGGGATGTAGCCTGCAGGTGTCTTTGTGTGCGCTTGGCGCTGTAGGATCTTAGTGCCTTCAAAAAGGGGGCGTTGTTAAGTCCCAACACCAGAGGCACGCGGGTTCTTCCGCCGTGGTGAGGCCGCAGACCATTATTTGATGTGTCAGGGCCCTTATTTCCCGCATAATTAAACTTGTCTCTTGGGGTTGTTATCTGGGACTTGAAGGGCAGCGCTTGACATTCAACATCGAATGCTCTGTCCGTTGCTTTCGAGTTATTAAATTCGTTCCAGAAATAGTGGGCACTAAACACAATGCTAGATGCTATACTTAGAAAAGCGGAGCCAAAGCAGCCAGGTTTGTTTTAGAAGCAGCTGAATACCAGGCACATTATGGGAAGAGGGCACTTTGATTCGGTGAGACTGCTGGAATGGTTGGTTTTGGGACATTTCTGAATGTTAGCAACTATGAAAAATAAAATGATACACACCAAGAGAAGGAGGTGCTCCCAGAGCCGTAGGGTGCTTTATGGGGTGAAGAGGATCCTCCCGGAAGGGGGCTTTGAGAAGTGGTGGTTAGCTAGGGGAGGAGTGATTCCGGCCAAAGGACTGGGCAGCGGTGAGCAGGAGCAGGGGCGAAGATGCCAGAAAGCCCAGTGGGCGGTGGGCGAGAAGGCTGCAGGGAGATGTGGGGAGGAGCCAGTGTGTTCCCAGCCATCTAAGGGCAACTTGTGGAGAATATTAGGTGGGAAACGGGCGTGCCTAAATCAGCGTTGGCCTTGACTGCCTTGTGGAGAAGAGACTGGAGGGTGACCTCATTAGATGTCAGCGTGCGGTCAGGGAGGCGGCTGGGCTAGAGGCACGAGGGGACCAACGGAGGGGGCGTGACTGTGTCAGGATGTGTTGTCACTTGGTCACTGACCATGTCAAAACCAGCGATAGAGTGCCTGAAGTGGAAATTTAAAGTATTCTGTTCAGTTAGCTCATTAAACAGCTTTCCTTTAATAATGAGATTGTGTTTTAATACAAATTCATAAATCATCTGAAATTTCAGAAATCGAAACTTGTATCAGTGTTCCTAAGATTAGGTCACACCAGGACATTTTTCTCTTTTACTTTTTCTTGTGTGAGAAGATGAGTAAATGATGTATGGCTGTGTGATGTTTGGAAGCAGTTTGCCAATGCGTTGTAAGAGATAACACTAGGCGTGTCATGGGAGCCCAGAACCCACTACGCTGTTGATTCAGGTCCTCAAGTTCACGCTCCCTGTGTTTTCTGGTTGGCAGGAGACTCAGTGTCAGAGACTTTGTGCAGCAAGTCTTAATTTGTTAATGTTAATTTTTTGTCTTTAAATATGTATTTTTAAAAATTTTATTGGAAAGTTAGATTTACAGAGAGAAAGAAAGATCTTCCATCTGCTGATTTACTCCCCAAGTGGCTACATGGCCACGGCTGATCTGATCCTGAAAGCACGAGCCAGGAGCTTCTTCTGTGTCTCCCACGCGGATGCAGGGTCCCAAGGCTTTGGGTCGTCCTGGACTGCCTTCCTAGGCCACAAGCGGGGAGCTGGATGGCAAGCAGGGACTCTAGGACATGAACAGGTACCCATATGGGATCCCAGTGCATAGAAGGCAAGAACTTAAGCCACTAGGCTACTGCACTGGGCTCTGTTCTGCATTTTGTTTTTGTTTTTTTTAAAGATTTATTTTATTATGAAGACAGAGTCAAAGAGAGAGAGAACTAGATCGTTCATCATCTGCTTTTTGCTTGCAAATGGACCCAACAGCCAGGCCTGGACCAGGCCAGAGTCAGAAACCAAAAATTTCTCCATCTGCTCGCCCCCGTAGCAGCAGGGACCTCCGCCCTTGGGCCTTCACTTGGATACACACTGGCATAAGTCTGACCCAGAAACAGAATGCCAGGTCTCAGACCAGCATGCCATTGTGGGCTGCCAGCCTCAGCATGGAGTATAACCTGCTACACCACAAAACAGATGAAAGCTCTGCTCTGCTGCCCGTCCCGCGTCACTATCCTTTTCTTCTTGGACAGCATTTAGTACAGATTCAAGTGAGGGTTTTCTCTTTCCTTTTGTGCCATAAAATAAACTGTATCCCGGCCCGGCACAATAGCTTAGTGGCTAAAGTCCTCACCTTCCATGCACCGGGATTTCATATGGGTCCAAAGCTTTGGGATCCTGGACTGGCGTGGGAGACCTGGAAGAAGCTCCTGGCTCCTGGCTTCGGATCGGCTCAGCTCCAGCCGTTACGGTCACCTGGGGAGTGAATCCTTGGATGGAAAATCTTCCTTTCTGTCTCTCCTCTCTCTGTATATTTGCCTTTCCAATAAAAATAAACAAATCTTTTAAGAACAAACCATTTTTCTTTGTTGTTTAACAGTCTTTCTATAGGAGATGTTGAATTGTATTTATAGATACTTATGAAGTCCTTAACACATGCAAAGCACCGAGAGAACGAGATCGCCTTTTGCAGATTTTAAGTTGTGTCTGTTGAAGGTAAAAATAAGTGCTCCTTTTCTTTATTTGTGAAATTGCTTCCACCAGGTCAATAAGTCCGAGAAGCCAGAAAGCTGCGACAACGTGAAGGTGGTCGTTCGGTGTCGGCCCCTCAACGAGAGGGAGAAGTCCATGTGCTACCGGCAGGCCGTCAGCGTGGACGAGATGCGGGGGACCATCACCGTGCACAAGACCGACTCTTCCAACGAGCCTCCCAAGACCTTTACTTTTGATACCGTCTTTGGGCCAGAAAGCAAACAGCTTGATGTGTATAACTTAACTGCAAGACCTATTATCGATTCTGTCCTTGAAGGCTACAATGGTGAGTGCTTTTTGTTGCTCTAATTGCAAAGTTCTTTTTCTGAACACTTCCTACATCCCCAAATTTCCTTTTTGCTCATTTGCAGCTATGTCCTAGGTAACCAGGAGGTTCACTTTCTGTCATGACAGTTTTTCTGGCAATTTCATATTAATCACAGTATATGATTTTATTACCCTTTAAAAATATTTGTTTATTTGAAAAGTAGAGTTATAGGGAGAGGGAACGACAGAGATATCTTCCATCATCTGGTTCACTCCTCCAATGGCGGCAAGGGCTGTGAATGAGCTGATTTGAAGCCAGGGGCTTTTTCTGGGGTCCCAACCACATGGGTCACCTGCTGATTTCCCAGGCACAGGAGCAGAGAGCTGAATTGGAAATAGTGCCATGGGACTCTTAACTCTGGTGTCTATGGAGTGCTGGTACGATACGCTGCAGCTTTACTCACTACACCACAGCTCTGGGCCCTTTATTATTTATTTATTTAAAAATTTTCCATCTGCTGGTTCACTCTCCAAATGGCTGCAGTGGCCAGAACTGAGTTGATCCGAAGTCAGGAGCCTCTTCTGGGTCTCCCACATGGGTTCAGAATCCCAAGGCTTTGGGCAATCCTCTGCTGCTCTCCCAGGTCACAGGCATGGAGCTGGATGGGGAGTGGGGTCACCGGGATTAGAACTGGCACACATATGGGATCCTAGCACATGCAAGGTGCTAGGCTGCTGCACCAAGCCCTTCTTAGCATGTTTTAAAGTCATCTATCTTTTGCATACATTAATATGCACCCCCCCCATTTTTGTGAATTGGGTGAACTGTGTAAAAGCTGGATGAAAATTGTATGCCTCATGTAATAACATTTTGTTTATTCATTATTTTCTGGAAATTTGTGTTGTTTTCAGTGTTTTAGCTGTCACACATTATGTTGCTATGAACACGGATTTGTACCTGTTTGTGTAGATACATTTTAAAGTTTCATTTGGAAAGATACCCGGAAGAGAAAAAGAGATGTAATGTGCTTGTCATTTGAAGAGCCTGTTTTCCCGCGTGATGGCTGCACTGCCTTTGCCCTCACTAGTGTGACTTGCGGATTCTTGTTTCACATTCTACGGCAGTATTCTGTGAGCTTCCGCAAGCCCCTGTTCTCGTTATATATGCATTGACCACTGACATGCTCGGTCGGGTATGCAGTTTTCACACAGTACATATTTTCTCCATGCTGTGGTTTTTTTCATTTTCCGATTTTTTTTTTAAATTTAAATTTTTAAAATGTCTGTTACCTGGGTGAGGGATTGCAGACCATGCAGGTCTCTGGGGCAGATAGGAAGGGTGGGGTGGGGGTGAGCAGGGTGAGGGAAATGACCCTGGCCTCCCTGCTGTGAGAGGGTGGGGGATGTCTGCACTGCTCCTTGCTACCAGATCTCAGCGCCAGAGGACAGAGATGGTCCCCTGGTTTTGCTTTCGCTCCTGGCCCCCCGAGTGGGGAAGAATGTCCTGACGGTGTTACTTGAGTAGGACTGTTCTGAGATAGTGTTGGCTTTGTTGTTCCAGGTGGGAGCTTCCACTTGCCCACACTTGCCAGCTGTCTGTGTCTGTTTGCTGTGTCCATAGCCTTAGATGTTTGGTGGTGAAAAAATAAAATTGGCCTGTAGTGTGGTTCAACCTGCTGCTGTTTCCATCTTTGGTGAGGCAGAACTCTGTTGGATCAGACTGCCTAGCTGTGGTCTGTGGTGCATTTTGGTATGCTGTCAGCCCAGTCCCACAATGTCTGGCCAGACCAGATGTCATGTTATGTTCCTGAGTTTGGGGATTGGGGAGAGTGGGCCCAGGGGGCTGACGCCGAAGAGCCTCTACTGAGTTGGTCCCCAGACTTAACACTTCTGTGCACCAGCAGGTGTTGCAAACCACCCTAGCCCTACCCACTCTCCAAGACTGGACCCTTACTGGTACTGAGGTTGTTGAAGCCTGGTCAGAAGACCCCTGAGGACTCCCTCCAGGCCTGCCCTCTCAAATGTGCACACAAATGCTGCAGCCTAGCCCAGTCTGGCTTGTGCGTGCCCTAGCTTGCCCCCTCAGCTGCTCTTGCCCCAGTGTTGGCTCTTGTGCACTTGGATAGATGCTTTGGCTTGACCCAGGGAGGCCCTCTGGATTCCCCTTTCTGATCTACCCCATTTCAGCTCTCAGTTACCTACAGGTGCAGTGGCCAGGTCCTGGAAGCTCTCAGAAATCATTTTGTACATGTCAACTGAGCACTCAGTGGCCCCCGTTCCAACCCATCCCCAGTCCTCCAGCCCCTAGCAGTGCACACCCCTCCCACAAACGCTAATGGTAGTAACGATGGCAGTGTGGTGTCCCTGACCTGGTATGTGTCCATAATGGGGACCCTGCCTCCTACCCACATCTTTAACAACAACAAAAAAAAGAACCAAATAGGCAGCTTTGCTGGCATACTGGTGTGTTTAATACAGAGTTGGCCTTTAGATTTTTTTGATGTCTTCCCCTAGAGGTTTTGTGATTTTAGATATATGTTTAGCTCTGTGATTATTTATGTGTTTTCTATATATGATGTAAAATAAGAGTCTTGGTTCTTGTTATTCTTGCCTACCTTTGTTTTCATTTCTTGCCTGTGGAAGTCTAGTTGTTCCATTATTGTCTATTGAGAAGACTCTTCTTTTCCTGTTTAATTAATTTGGCATTTTTTTAAAGCTTTATTTATTTATTTGAAAGGCACAGTTACAGAGAGAGAGAGAGAGGGAGAGGGAGAGATCTTCCGTTTGCTGGTTCATTCCTCAGGTGGCCGTAGTGACCAGAATTGGGCCAATCTAAGACCAGAAGCCCGGGACTTCCAGGTCTCCCATGTGAGTGCGGGGGCACATGTGCTTGGGCAGCCTTCCACTGCTTTCCCAGACACATTAGCAGGGAACTAATTGAAGTGGAGCAGTTGAACTTGAACTGGTGTCCATATGTGGCCAATGCTGCGGGTGCTGGCCCCTTTTTTGGCACTTTTGTAAAAAAAATCACCTGACTACAAATGAGCTTATTTCTAGAATGTTTTATTTCTTTTCTATTCTCTTACTTATTAGTTTGAGTACAGCTTTATTATATTTTGAAATTAGATCGTGTAAGTGCTCCAACTTTGTCTTCACTGCTAGGTCCTTTGGGTTTTAGAATCTATCAGTTTCAACAAAAACAAAATGAAACAACAACAACAACAAAAACCAAAAAAGCCTGCAGAGAGTTGAGGGGAGATCGTGTTAATTTGCCCTGTGCTGAGATGAACATTAGCTGTCGCTCCGTACGCTTAGGTCTTGAGTAGTTTCTTTCATCAGTATTTTGAAGCTTTCAGTACACAGGTCTTGTCCTTCCTTTGATGTTTTCATTCCTCTGAAGTTTTTGATGTTGTGAATAGAATTGTCTTTATAATTGTACTTATTATATCTATATTGCTAAAATATTTTAAAATGTCTGTTCAGTTTTGGTATCAGGATAATGCAAGTTTCATGGACTAAATTGGGAACTATTACCTAAAGGAATTTGTCTAAAATTAGAATTGTTTCTTTTTTAAGCAAATTCTGTCATTGAGTCAGAGGAGTTCATTTTAAGAATGATTTTTGTAGCGTGAGACTAACAAGTCACTGTTTATTATTTTCAGGTACGATTTTTGCATACGGTCAAACTGGAACAGGTAAAACTTTCACCATGGAAGGTGTTCGCGCTGTTCCTGAGCTTAGAGGAATCATTCCCAATTCATTTGCACACATATTCGGTCATATTGCAAAGGCAGAGGGTGACACAAGGTAAAAGTGGATCCTTTTATTTTCTAATAATTGAGAATGTAAACATAGGAAGGGCATTTATGTTCAAGTGTTACAAACATGTTTTCATACTGTTCTTATTTTATTGCATTTAAGTTTAAGAAATTTTGTTTTATTTGCAGATTTTTGGTTAGAGTTTCATATTTAGAAATATATAATGAAGAAGTTCGTGACCTTTTGGGCAAAGATCAGACACAGAGGTTAGAGGTAAGATAATTGAAAGTGAGTATTTCCAAAGCAATGGGATACTTACTGAATTAAGGCCCGTTTCTGTTAAAGGTAGCTTTAATGTGTTTTTTAAAATATTTGTTTTGGGGTCCCAGTATGATGGCTCAGTGGCTAAACCCTTGCCTTGTACATGCCAAGATCCCATATGGATGCTGGTTCCTGTTCCAGCTGCTTCGCTTTTCATCCAGCTCCCTGCTTGTGCCCTGGGAAAGCAGTCTAGGACGGCCCAAAGCCTTGGGACCCTGTACCTGCATGTGGGAGACCCAGAAGAAGCTACTGGCTCCTGGCTTCAGATTGGCTCAGCTGTAGCCATTGCAGCTGTTTGGAGAGTGAACCAGCAGATGGAAAATTTTTCTGTCTGTGTCTCCTTTGTGCATATCTGCCTTTCCAATAAAAATGAATACACATCTTTTTTTAAGAAGAGTATGCTGGATGCTGCAATAAAACCAGATGCATTGATTTTTATGTGAAAGGCACATTTTACATAGGGGGAAAGAGAGAGAAGGTCTTCCATCCACTGGAAGTGGAATGGCGGGGACATTGACTGGCATTCATTTGGGATGGCAGCACCACAGAACAGAGGATTAGCTTTATGTGCCTCCATACCAGCTCCTGGTTTTAATATTTTAAATGGCCTTATTTGTGTGTTATTTCATATATATGTGTATCTGGCTATAAATTAGTGAAATAAGATTGTTGAGTTAGGTGAGAAATGAGTGACAGATTTGATAGATTTTTCCAGATACTTTGATATTTTAAGATATGAGACAACCAATAAAAGATTAGTCTTTACAATAATAATGTTAGAATTAGGATTAGGGATTTCACTGTCAACAAAATAGAGGAGAGCAATTTATGTTGGATGACAGTGGAATAGAATTTAGAGCAGCAACATCCACTATTATTAACTTTGATCGAGAGACGGGCATTTGATGAAATTAAAATAACACACTTTTATTTCATTTAATCTTCACCGAATTTCAATTTTGCTGATATGGAAATTGAAACTTAGAAGGATTCCATGACTTGCTCAAGGTCATGACTTGCTCAAGGTCATGTTGCAAGCAAATAGCAACATGGATTAAGAGCATGATTTCTGGGGCCCTGCTCTTTCATCTTGATTCTAGGCGATGATGGGGAGCAAATTACTTAAGCTCTGTGAGCTTTACTTTCATCATATATAAATGGAAATGGTGATAGTACCTGTTTCATGGGATTATTGTTAGCATTAACATACTCTGGGGTTTAAATTGATTCTGATGCACAATCCATGGATGAGGTAAATAATAAATGCTAGGTGTTTTTAAGTTAACTGGATAAGCTGAGTTTTTGGAGCTTTGTGTTATCATTGTTTGGGATTGTTGTTCTAGGGCCATAGTAAAGCCTTATTTTGATAGTGATGACATATACATAGCAAATGTACAAGTTTGATGCAGTTGTCATCTGGCTTTAATGAATACTTTGTTAATTTTCCTTTTTGAGTGCAGAAATTACAGATTAAATTTATTCTCAGGATATTCTTTTCAATGACTCTCAACCCTGATAGACTCAGTGTACTTTTTTATATGTATTTTATAATGCCTTTCTGAGTGTCCTAAAATAAAATTTTATGTGATAAAATCTGCTTAAGCACTCAATTCTTAAAAGTCAGCATGTTGTCCTACTGTAATAAAGGAAAATAAAAATATTTAAAAAATAAGACACAGGGATGAGTTTCTGGTGTAGCAGTTAAGTGCCACTTGGAACGTCCGCACGCCATGCCAGACTGCTTGGGTTTCTGTCTCAGTTCCATTGTCAGTTCCAGCTTCCTGCTCATGTGTGCCATGAGAGGCAGCAGGTGCATGGCTCAAGTAATTGTATCCCTGCTACCCACGTTGGAAACTTGGCTTCAGCCTGGCTTAGCCCTAGCTGTTGTGGGGCTTTGGGGGCCCTAGACATGGCTGTTGGAAATGAACCAGCAGGTGGGAGATCTCTCTTTCTCTACCTGTCAAAACAGTTTTTAAAATAAGGAAATAAATAGACAAATAAGTACAAACTTCTGTCACTGATGGTAACACCTGTTGAGGAGTTTAGACCACCTGTACAACGTGCCTGAACCCTCATTTGTAGCTGTTGCAGCCATGGTGATTCTTTATGCCTCAGATACAAGTTGAGTTCTGGTTTTCTGACTTCAGCCTGGCCCAGTCTCAGTCCCCAGTGTGATAGCCATTTGAAGAGTTAATCAGTAGATGGGAGGGGAGGTCTGTCAACATTGCCTTCCAGGGTCTAGAGCACCGAGACAAGTTGGACTCAGAGTCAGGAGCCAGATGTTGGCCCCAGCTACTGATTATGGCCTTGAGTCTCTAAGAGCTGTTCCCAGTTTGTTTTTATTTTTGAACAGTGAAAAAAAAAATGTTTTCAAGATTTTTCAAATTTAAAAAATTTTTTAAAAATTTGTTTAAATTTCCAAAATTGTTTTAATAAACTAGTTTTTAGAAGAATTTTGCACCAAATTGAATAGTATTCTTTCTTGTTTTCCTCTGTTCCTGTATTTTATTATTGTAATTACTGTTAAGTGGAAAATCCCATTGTCTTTATTTGTAAAATGATGTCATATAATTATTTTAGTCTAGACTCAGATAATTACAGTTTTTTTCATCCCTGTGAATATCTGATAGGACATTCATAGTTACGTAGGACAGCCTCATTGGGTAAGACACACCCATTGCAGGATATTTAGAATCCCTAGTCTGTTTCTGTAAATACTCATAGAGTCCTCTAGTGAACTGTAAACACCCCCACAGATTTATTCAGATCTATCATTTAGTATTATAAACTATACTTGACATAAAAAGTAAATTACTGTTTGTTTGTTTTTTTTTTTGATGAAAGCTTACCACCCATTTTCTGAGACTTTCATAGGTTGAGTGATTTTGTTTTTATCTTTCACTTGAGTGATCAGTTATCTATACTTCATAATTGAATTTTGAGTTGATATCATATTGTGGGTGGAAAAAACTTCATAAAAGACCTTGGAGTTCAGTAGTTTGCAGATTGATGTCACTTTGAAGAATACTTTTAGTGTGTAATGAAGATGAGCAGGAAGTGTGACTGTAGCTGCTAAAAACTTTCATAGCAATATGGTTTCACTATATATAACTTTTTTAAAGATTTATTTTTATTGGAAAGGCAGATATGCAGAAAGAACGAGATGCAGAGAGAAAATCTTCCATCTGCTGGTTTATTCCCCAAGTGGCTGTAATCGCCAGAGTTGAGCTTATTCAAAGGCCAGAGCCTAGAGCTTTTTCTGGGTTTCCCACATGGGTGCAGGGTCCCAAGGCTTTGGGCCATCCTCGACTGCTTTCCCAGGCCACAAGCAGGGAGCTGAATGGGAAGTGGAGCTGCTGGGATTAGAACTGGCAGCCATATGGGATCTCGGCGTGTTCAAGGCGAGGTCTTTAGCCGCTAGGCCTTGCCGCCGGGCCCAAAAACTTTTTTTTTTTTAAGTATTTATTTGAAAGTCAGAGTTACAGATAGAGGCAGAGAGAGCTCTTCATCTGCTGGTTCACGCCCAAGGTGGCTGTAACTGCAAAGCTGGGTGCCAGGAACTTCAGTCATGTCTCATGGGCGGCATGAGTCCGTACATTTATCCATCTTCCATAATGCATCCCAGGCCATCAGCAATTAGCTGTATTGGAAGGAGAACAGGCAGGGTAGGAATTGCTGCCACAACGCTGATTCTGCAAAAAAAAACTTTGGAAACTCATGTGTGGTTTTTTCACTATTTGTGTTTTCCTACACATTATTAATTAGATGCTCAATAAGTAATTGTTTGAAGTATTGGGGCTGGTGTGGTAGTGCAACTGGCTAACCTTCTACCATGTGGTGCTGGCAAACCCTATGTGTGCCGATTTGTATCTTGCTTGCTCCTCTTCCCATCCAGCTCCCTGCTGTGGCCTGGGAAAGCAGCAGAGGACGGCCCAAAGCCTTGGGACCCTGCACTTGTGTGGGAGACCTGGAAGAGGCTCCTGGTTGCCAGCTTTGAGTCAGTTCAACTTTGGCCGTTGTGGCTATTTGGGAAGTGAACCAGCAGATGGAAGACCACCTTCCTTCTCCCTCTGTGAAATCAGTCTGCCAAATAATGATAAATCGTTTAAAGAAGTATTGACGTCAGTGAAAAAGTCTTTGTTTTGTTTTGTTTTGTTTTAGGTTAAAGAAAGACCTGATGTGGGAGTTTACATCAAGGATTTGTCAGCTTATGTTGTGAACAATGCTGATGATATGGATAGGATTATGACTCTAGGCCACAAAAATCGTAAGTATAATGCATGATTGTGATTCAACATCTGTATAATCAGTAGGCTGAGTAAGAAGCAAAACTAGTCTGGCACTTTCCTCATAGAGACTACAATTTTAGGTTTCTTCAGAACCTTCTTGTTTTGATCATTTGTTATGTAGAGAACATATATGAATGAAAGGTAGCACAGGTTATTTTTCCTACAGACCAAAATTTTCCTTTTCAATAGTGCTAATCTTTGAAACGTCCCTATGTCTGGCTCTTATTATTTTAATAGGAGGCAACTTCAAAACATTCATGGAAAATGAAATTGAAAGATTATTTTGGTGTCTGCAAAACATTTGTGAAATCATGTCTTGTTTTCTGTGTATTTTCGTTAGCTTTTGCAGAATTTAGTAATATTGATAACACTTATTGAGCACTTGGTAAGTGGAAAGTGCTTGTCTAAGTGCTTGCTTGCTTGTAACCCTCAGTTTAGGTTAGGAAAGGCCTGAGGCTTTAGTTTAAGTAACCTGTTCAGGACAGTATAATTACCACCTAGCAGAACAGGTACCTGAAGGCAGGCCAGCAGGCTACTCTGAGAAGTCACTACTAGCTCTGCTTTGTTGACAAGAGAAGCAAAACAAAATCAAAATATACATTCTTTTTGGTAATTGCTTCAAAGTTTTAATCTCAAGAATAAGAAGCTTTAGTAATATTAATTGCACAGAGACTGCAGGGCTGGTCTCTCTTTTTTGTTTGATTCTTCTTTCTTCTCTGTCACTGTGCCTTTCAAATAAGTAAATCATTTAAAAAAAAGAATTAAATTCCTACTGGGTCCGGTTGGGCTCAGAGGCTAAATGCTCCCCCTTGCAAACACCAGGATCCCATGTGGGCTCTGGTTCATGTCCTGGCTGCTCCACTTCCCATCCTGCTCCCTGATTATCATCTGGGAAAGCAGTAGAGGATGCCCTAAGTCCTTGGGACCTTATACCTGTGTGAGAGACCTGGAAGAAACTCCTGGCTCCTGGCTTTGGATTGGCTTAGCTCCAGCCATTGCGACCATTTGGAGGGTGAACCAGTGGATGGAAGATCTTTTCTCACAGTATCTCCTTCTCTCCATAAATCTGATCTGCCTTTCCAATAAAAATTAATCAATCAATCAATTAATTAATTCCTTTTGACTCAGTAGTTCTTATTTTAGATGCATAATCTAGAAAAATATTTCTCAGGTATAAGTAATATAGTATAAATAAATAAAAATAAAGATAATAGAATATCATTTATGTTATAAAATAAAATATTGTGTATAATGAAACTTAATTTAAGTCTGTAAAGATATTCAGTATTGATCATTAAGTTTAAAATGAATTACTTAGCAATATGTACTGTATCATTTATGTGTATGTGTAAAGAAATTAGTTCAAATCAAATATGTAGGGAGCGTGTGTTAGTGCATGTTTGTGTGGTTTTTTGTGGTTTAGAAGCTGAAGTCATGCTTCTCTTATGACAGCTGAATTAATCATGGCGTTCCTTGTTGTTTTAACATGTGAGTTCTTTCTGTTTAATAGTAATAATACTTGGGATAGATTTAGATTTTTTTGCTAAGGTTATGTCCTTTGTATGAGAAACAATACAAAATCTTTGGTTATCACCAGAAATTATTTGAAAAGGTTTCATAAAATGGCTGAATACATACCTGTGTTTTGTGTTTTACCCATGCTTGCTTTCTTTCTTTTTTGTTTGTTTGTTTTGGACATTGATGGAAATAAGTCTTTTAAGTTGTTCTGGATGATTATTTTTAAAGACATCATGTGTTTCACTTTTTATGAGTTTCCTTTCTTTATTGCAGGTTCTGTTGGAGCAACTAATATGAATGAACATAGTTCCCGTTCCCATGCCATCTTTACGATTACTATAGAATGCAGTGAGAAAGGTGTTGATGGTAACATGCATGTCAGGATGGGGAAGCTCCATCTGGTAGATCTTGCTGTAAGTTGAGGATCCATTGATATTACACGTGAATAGATACTAAAGTAGAAAATGTGGATTATATGTCATTTTCAGGTTGTTACTCTTGTGTGTGTTTAACGTATGTATTATGGTTTACTTAAATGTATATGGAAGTATATAGAAGGGTGTGATAATCTCCACACCTGTAACTCAACTGCGACAGTCTTATTTGATCCATTCATGTACTTCTTCCTTTCCTTTATTATTCATTTTCTTAAAGCCAGAGTTACCAAGAGTAACTCAGTAAGATCTTCCCTTTTCTGATTCACTGTCCAAATGGCTGCAATGGCTAGACCAAGGCCAGATCAAAGCCAGGAGTTGAGAGCTTTTTCCTTGATGCCATGTGGGTGCAGGGGCCCTAGCAGGTACTACCCTCTGCCGCTTTTGTAGGTACATTAGCAGGAGCTGGAGAAGAACTTGAGCTAACGTCCTTATGGGGTACCAGCATCACAGATGGTGGCTTTACATATTATGGCACAATTTGGGCCCCTCCTTAAAATTACCTAAAAGTGAATTCCAGGGTCAGTGTTGTGGCATGGCAAGGTAACCCTCTACCTACAGTGCTGGCATTCTGTATGGGTGCTAGTTAGTGTTTCAGCTGCTCCACTTCTAATCCAGTTCCTTGCTGATTGCCTAGGAAAAGCTGTGCCAAGTGTTTGGGCCCCTGCACCTGTAGGGGAGACCTGGAGGAGACTCCTGGCTCCTGACTTTGGAGCAGCCCTGGCCGTTGCAGCCATGTAGGGAGTGAATCAGTGGATGGAAGGTGTTTACTCCCTCCCTCCATCTCTCTCCCTCCGCCCCCGTCTCTCTGTAGTTCTTTCAAATAAAAATAAATAAATCCCTAAAAGAAAAATTGCTGGTCTGTGTGTTTAAAAAATTGAAAACCATACAGCATATTAGATTATTTACTACAAATTACAAAAACTTTGTAAGGATTTTTGTATTTTTAAATTTTAGCTTATATCTATTTCTAGGGTTCAGAAAGACAAGCAAAAACTGGAGCTACTGGGCAGCGCCTCAAGGAAGCTACAAAAATCAATCTTTCTCTTTCTACTCTTGGAAATGTAATTTCTGCTTTGGTCGATGGAAAAAGCACACATGTGCCTTATCGCAATTCTAAATTGACTCGGCTTCTTCAAGACTCTTTAGGAGGAAATTCAAAAACCATGATGGTAAGTCAAAACTAGTGAGAGTTAGCATTTGGCAAATGTAAGGTGCTAATGTGTGCTGATAACTAATTGTACAACATTATTAGTTTTTTTAAATTTTGGTTTGCAGTTATACTTTGTGTAGTTTATTAATATATATTAATACACATATAATAATGCATATGCAATACACATTTGTTATACATATATTGATTAGCTACAATATATTATAAATATATAAATTATACATATTATAAATAATACATATAAAGTACATATATATAAATGCAGTGTCATTTGTAAATACATGTGGTTGATACTCTTGTTTTTAATGTTGGATGGAGTGCATTTGTCTTTAAAAGTTGTGTTTTTATATACTTGTAATAATATTATTAATTTTATCTATGCCGTGTGTAAAATGACTTGTATCTAACTTGACAGTGTGCAAATATTGGGCCAGCAGATTATAATTATGATGAAACTATTAGTACCTTACGTTATGCCAACCGTGCTAAAAATATCAAAAATAAAGCTAGAATTAATGAAGATCCAAAGGATGCTTTGCTTCGTCAGTTTCAGAAAGAAATAGAAGAATTAAAGAAAAAGCTTGAAGAAGGTAACTTTTCTTAAAATACTATTAACATTATCTAAAAATCTATTGTTAACCATTAAATTATGAAATGCCTTTTGTACTATTAACATGATATTTAAAGGAATTTCTGGAAATTAAGTTGGTACTTGGCATATTTTTCATACTAAACTTTCATGAAGTTATATAATACTTGTGTATGTGGTTTTTAGAAAAATTAATTTTGCTTAAACTGATACATTTTATTAGTGTGGCATTTATAGTCTTTTGTATGACTACTTGTAAAATAATGAATTTTTATTTATCTCTGTGTAAAAGCAAGCTTCCCATAGGGTATGTGTTAATTGACACTTGTATATGAACAGAGAGCAAACTCAGTGTTGGCTAAGAGAAAGATACCAGGCAGCCGTGAGTAGACCAGATTTGCTGTGAGAAGACAATCCATTGAAAGGCTTTGAAAGTATGCTTTCATATATAAATTTGAACATGAGATTTTATTTTGAATTTTTTTCTGTTTAAAAATTTTCAGTTATTTTTGAGGTAGCATTTTTAATGTATGTTATAGTTGAGGTTGAATGCTCAACTAAAGAATTTAGCAAGTACAGCGCAGAAAGACCATAGTTCAGCAGGAAAATAGGCAAGGGCCATAAACAGTGATCAGATGAGAAAATGTACAATTTCACGGATATAAAGTAAATTTTAAAATGGTCACAAAAGTCATCAAAATTATAGCAGTCTATAATTTTTTATTTTGAAAGATTTATTTATTTTTATTGGAAAAGCAGATTTATTGGGAGGAGAGACAGAGAAAAAGGTCTTCCATCAGCTTATTCACTCCCCAAATGGGCATGACGACTGGAACTAAACGGACCCAACTCCAGGAGGCAGAAACTTCTTGCAGGTCTCCCACGTGGGTGCAGGGTTCCAAGGCCTTGTTGGGCCATCACTCACTGCTCTCCCAGGCCACAAGCAGGGAACTGGATGGGAAGTAGAGCAGCCGGGACATGAACTGACACCTATATAGGATCCCAGCACTTGCAAAGGGAGGATTAACCAATTGAGCCATCACACCTGGTCCTTGAAGCTCTCTTTTGCATAGCAGAGTTACCTTTTACATGCTCATTCAGAGTGAGTGAGTTGTCCAAAATCTGGGAAAAGTCTCTCACAGTCAGTGTTAATGCTGAGTGCCAGGGTTAATCCTGCATGTGTTCAGGGAGTCGTCAAGAGAAACAAAATGATGAGGGGAAGAATGTTAGAGAATTAAGTCACAGAGATGAAAAGGACTGGATTTTTTTTTTAAGATTTATTTATTTTTATTGGAAAGGCAGATTCATAGAGAAAAGAAGATACAGAGAGAAAGATCTTCCATCCACTGGTTCACTCCGCAGGTGACCACAATGAAAGGAGCTGAACCCATCTGGAGCCAGGAGCCGGGAGCTGCTGCTGCGGCTGGTTTTTTTTTTTTTGTTTTGTTTTTTTTAAGGTTGATTTATTTTTATTGAAAAGGCAGATATACAGAGAGGAGGAGAGACAGAGAGGAAGCTCTTCTGTCCGATGATTCACTCCCCAAGTGGCCCCAGTGGCTGGAGCTGAGCCATTCCGAAGCCAGGAGCCTCTTCCAGGTCTCCCACACGCGGGTGCAGGGTCCCAAAACTTTGGGCTGTCCTCGACTGCATTCCCAGGCCACAAGCAGGGAGCTGGACGGGAAACAGGGTTGCCAGGTTTAGAACCGGTGCCCATAGAGGATCCTAGCGTGTTCAAGGCAAGGACTTTAACCACTATGCTATTGCACCAGGCCCCAGGAGCTTCTCCAGGTCTCTGTTGTGGGTGAAGTGAACTTAGATAATAAAACTTGGTGTTTTAAGTCTGACCACTAGGTGGTATTTATAGCCAATGTTTTTTAAGGTTTAATTTTTAGTGTTGTTAATGTGGAGTACATACCTTTTTTGGCTATTTTTTACTTTTGTGTGTGGCAAAATGCATATTATATAAAATTTGTCATTTTAACTGTTTTAATTCTGCAGTCCACTGGCATTAAATGACTTAAAACAGAGTAAAAAGAAGTGTATTAAATTTGTCTCCCAGGGGAAGAAATATCGGGCTCGGATGTCAGTGGGTCAGGAGAGGATGATGATGAAGAAGGTGAGATTGGAGAAGATGGAGAGAAAAGGAAAAAAAGAAGGGGTAAGTCTTCTTTCTAATGCTGGCTTCCTATGCCTGGGGCAGGGGAGTGCACGCGTTTTATTTCGCCATTTTTGGTTATGATAGCATTTAGAACAGAAGACACGTGAATAGCTGCATTTGTTTTCTCATACACTGATCTGTTTGTAACTGACAAAACATATCATTTGTTCTGTTTTATTGCTTTTCAGAATTTAAAATATAAAGCTCTAGAAATGTTATGCAAAGTATAAATTTTATTTAGGAACTTTAATCTGTATTAGGAATTCAGTGGATTTTAAAATTGATGATTCAACTTTTAAATTCTTTTTTCTAAATCTACCTTCCTTCTCATCTTTCTGTGGGGCATTTGTTGCAAGTTGATGAAGATTGAGTTGTGATAGGAATGCGGACACCGAGTGGATGAGTTAGACGTATTATAGTGGCCTAACTTGCAGGCCTCTTTACTCTGGATGCTTCCTTTTTTCAGAACTCTCTTCCATTAATATGGATCATTGTTTTCAAGTTGATGCATATTTGCTTATCTGAGAATACATCCAAAACTGCTTTAAAAAGTATGATTCCATTTTCAAAAGACAGGAGAAGCATGATTTAGGAGAGTTGGCCAAATACAGCTAACCACCTGTTTTTGTAAATAAAATTTACAAAAACACCCATGCTCATTTGTTTACATGTGGTCCGTGTCTGCTTTCACATGCAGTCACGTGACCTGCAGAGTCTGCAAGTTGTTATCTGTCCTTTTGTATAAGGTGTTAGCCTTTGGTTTAGAGAAATGAATTTTTGTTTATACCTGCTTTTTCAGAGTAGATTATTTGTAGCAAAATCAAACTTTTAAATATAAAGAATGACCATTGTATAACACACTAAAATATTTAATAATACATATTTCTTTTGGGCTTAGAAAATTAAATTTTTTCAGTGATTCAAAGTTTTACTGTCAAACCTTCAACTCAAGTAATTATATTGGATAGTTTGATGTTTTGGTGGGAGACAGCATATTTGGAATGGACCAGCCTGCTTGTAATGAAGGATAATTTATCATTCCTGTGTTGTATAAAGCTCCATTCCTTTAATTTTCCAACTTAAATAGTCTAAATAGACTTAAACGGTACTAAGTGGCTTATTTGGCTTTTATTCTGGTCATTTACATCCTTAGAATTGTTATGTTCTCGGTGAGTACCAGAGTTTGCCTGCCTGTAGTAGGTGTTCAGATTAGTACAATTTTCCCCTGTAAGGTTTGTGAAGTAGAGACTAAAGGCTAGACTATGAAGACTGGTTTTAGGGAAAAGAAAGTTTTTCATTTTGAATGCAAAACTCGATGTCCTTTAAAATTCTTTCTCTGGAACTGAATTTTTTTCTTTGTGTGTTTGTTCATATTCTTGTTTCCTCTTGGTTTGGTTCCAGTTGGGCTCATTTCTTTGTCTTCCAGGCAGTAGCAGCAGCAGTAGTTCAGACTCCACATGTTCTGTCATAGAGAAACCTCTGGATAAGTTCTTGCCCAGTGAGTGGCAGCTCTTAAATCCTCTAACAGAGCTTTGGCTTTTCCATAACCCATGGCCTCATTTGAGAAATGCTGCAACCGCTCCCTGTCATTATTCGAAGAAAACATGTTGGACTTCTCTGTAAAACAAAGCATGTGGTGATCCCCTCCCTCCTTCATTGCTTCCCATTGACTGTGATTGTCAAGACATGCGCTGTAGCTGATGCCCAAGACAATGGAAGAGAGATTCATGCTTTTGCAATCGAGATAATGTAAAGAGAGCTAGTAAGCTGTACAGAGAATCATTCTTATTACTGTTTTTTAATGTTTTGATATATTTCTACTGCTGTGCAGGATAAAGCATGTGCAATAACAAATCCTCAACCTGGAACAGTACAGGTTGGATTTGGAAGTGTACCAATATCCATTATAGCATGTCACATAGTTAACATTTTATAACTAGTCTTCTACTAGCAGTGGCTTAAGACTAAAGTCTCTTAAATAAAAATGTGATGATTGAAGCCATTGAAGAGAAATTGAGTAGTATTTTACTTCACAGGAGCATTATTCCTGTTTCTAAATTACTCTATTTAAAGAAATGTTTAAAGATATGATTTGATACTTAGAACCACAGTTAGTTTATGGTGGATCTATTTAGACTTATTTCTTATTTCTTTTTTAAACCTTAAATTGAAAAGTATTAATCATACACATATATGTATATTTTGTTTCCAGAAAAAGAAGGGAGGTGAAGTTTTTTATAGCAGCTTGCAGCTTACTGTCTTTTAAAGCATTATCTGTGTACTTACCTTTTCTAAAACTAATAAAAATAATTATTTATTGTTTAGCTTTGTAAAGGAAGAATTCCTAGATTTTTAGAAATATTTTTCTCTTGACAAATTTTAAGCAAGTTACCAAGACAATTTCAAAGGTCACTTTTTAAAATATATGAAATTGCTTTATACAGGTATAATTTTGTATTGTAACATGTGAAATAGGAAAAATATCAGTAGGAGGCATGTAATTTACTTTTTAAAAATTTTACCTTAAGTCTTTAAGAGAAGTTAAATGAAAGTATGGTATGAGTTGTACTTCATTTAATTTTTCACTGCAATTTGCATACCTCACCTTGACTGTTTTGCTGCCACGTGTTGGGGAGCGGCGAGGTGACTGTCCAGCCTGTGGTTGCTGTGTGTGACTGTGTGCACGCCCCCTCTCCCAGCCCTGGAATGGCCTTTTCTCAGGTGTCTGTTGCTGTGTCACCAGATGGAATCGTTACTACAGTTCTGCTTAAGAATATAGTGATAGGTTAAATGTAAGCTTACTACTGTACAGGTGGACTTCATTTTGTATAGCAGATTTTTTTTCTGAAAAAAAGTTGTTTATTAATTAAATGGAAGAATTCAATCTGTGTGGGAAGATCTGCCATATTTATAAATTCTTTCTTGTATTTTTTAAACCAAACAGTACACATCACTGTAATCTGTCTTTAGTTCAGATTTTTTGTGTTGGATTTTCTTAAACTGAGGAACACCTGTAATGTGAATTTTTATACTAGAAGAAGCATTGAATTGGTAAAATATGGAAGTGGACAGTGTGAATTTTGTTATTTTTAAGTTGCTATTTTTTGATTGGCTTAATTTTCTGTTTTGTCCTTTTAGATAATTTTCCAGGGGCAGGTTCCCAATTCCATGTATGCCTTTAGCATAACCACATGGTGCTGACTATTACATTTGCAGGAGTTTGAAAATCAGTGTGAACTTTTGATACAGATTTGTGATGTTAGATTAAATCTTATTTTTGCTTAAATCACGTCTCATGTTGCATATGCTTTCTTTTTACTTGAGCTGTGTTTCAGTTTTGATGTTTTGATTTATTTATATGCTTATACTATAAATGAATGCTATTATGCAGTTTTCTTTGTTTTACAAAAGAAATAATGTTTCCTTTTTTCCTCCTCGTCTCTATGCATTCGCTTCCTGTCTGCGATTTGCTTACTACTACTTATTGCAAGATCAAGCAGGTTGGTGTGATTGCTTTGCACTCCACATGGTACAATTATTCTAGAAAGAACTTTGTCATCCAAATACATTATTGTTTTTAAATTTAATACTTTTGTTTTTGCAAGGTAAGTATGCATCTTGCAGTTACTTTTTTTCAATTTTAGCTTTTTTTTTTTTTGAAGAGTTGTTTATTTTTATTGGAAAGGCAGATTTATAGAAATAAGAAGACAGAGAGAAAGATCTTCCACCTGCTGATTCACCACCAGATGGCTAACATGGCCAGAGCTGAGCTGATCCAAAGCCAGGAGCCTGGAGCTTATTCTGGGTCTCCCACACAGATGCGGGCTCCTGAGGTCTTGAGCCATCCTCCACTGGATGGAAAATGGAGCAAGCAGGACGCGAACCTGTACCCATATGGGATCTCAGCCTTTGCAAGGGGAGGATTAGCCAATCAAGCCATTGCAACAGACCCTAGTTATTGCTGATGTTTTAAGAACCTCCTCTTTTCATAAATTTGTACAAATTCAAGCTAGATTTTGACGATACAAAAGTGAATGATTTCATACTTAAACATTTTTTCCTTAAAGCCGAGAGTCAAATTCCTGATTGCCTGCACCTGTGGGTTCCTTTTTTGCTTTTTAAAAATCTGTTTATTTTTATTGAAAAGACAGCTTTACAGAGAAATCTTCCATCTGTTGGTTCAATCCCCAGATAGCCACAGTGGCCGGAGCTAAGCTGGTCTGAAGCCAGGAGCCTGGAGCTTTTTCGTTTTTTAATATTTAGAAAATGTTTATAAAGTGACTTTTACTGACGCTACAATTTTAAGTACCTGGTTAGAAGAGTTGGTGCATATTCACATAAAATATTATTTGATTATATATATATTATATATATATTTGATTATATATTATATTATTTGATTATATTATTCAAACTGATTCTGGCTGCAGTAATGTGTTAGTTAAAGATTAGCCTTTTGTAACTAACCCTAGATGCATTTACATGATCATTATGAAACTGTTAATAATCATAATAAAATTAAAATGAGGTTAACAAAAAAAAGCATAAAATTGATTTAAAAAAAAAAGAATAACAAGATTAAAAATTTTTTATCTGAGGGCCCTAGCTCAGTGGCTAGATCTTCACCTTGCCTATGTCATCATCCAGTGTGGATGTCAGTTCATGTCCCAGATGCTCCACTTCCCTTCCCATTCCCTGCTGTGACCTGGGAGAACAGTGGAGGATGGCCAAAAGCCTTGGGACTCTGTGCCTACATGGAAGGTGGGAAAAACTTCTGGCTTCGGGTCATCTCAGCTCTGTCCATTGCAGCCATTTAGGGAAGATCTTTCTGTAAATCTACCTTTCCAATAAAAATAAATAGATCTTTAAAAAAAAAAGTTACCTGAATGGCTTTGAATTACTAAATTACCTAGTCTTAATTCATCCATAAGCATATGCTTTTGTATTTCTGTGTACAAAAATCTTTTTCTTTTATTGTCTCCTAATGGTGTTTGAAACTTTTTGACTCATAACAAAACAATTAGAAACCTAAAATTCTTGTTTTTATAGTTGATCAGGTAATTTCCTCTATACCATTAATATCTATGTCATCATATATACATTTAAAAATATTTTCTTTACATATTTATAATTGTGAGACAAAAAGGAAGTAGTTTGTAAATTTCATGAATTTTCTCTTCACATATGGCCACATACTTTCCTCCCTTAAATTTCTTCTCCATAAATTTCCAAGAAATGGTAATATTAATGGGAAAACCTTCCTAGGAATTCACTGGGAATAGAAGTGAAATAGACTTCTAATTGTATCAGATGATTTGATACAAGTCGCCTTGCCGAACAGAGCAGCAGAACCATGTCTGTAGTGACTTTCAGGATGCAATGAATCACACCATACCAGAGCATGAATTTGGATCAGTGCTTTTATTTTCTCTTTTATTTAATTTGTTTTGTGGCTTAGATTTGCTTTGGATTTACAGTACTGTAGAGATGAAGGATAATGTAGCTTAAACTCTTGAAGTTTTTAAAATACATTTTTGTCCTAGAGTTAAAACCTTTGGGTCATTCTCTTTCTTGTGATTCTTGGAAGAAGCTATTCAGTTGTGTATCTCCATCATAATTATTTTTTAATTCTTTTTCGTTACGAGCGAGAAGAATTGGGTTCTGGGTGGAGACATTGACAGTGTATGCACTCTCCTGGTTTATGTTCCTCTGTGGTCCTTGGGAAGGAAGGAAGTCAGGAATAAAACAGCTTTCAGGAAAGCCTCAGACCAATTCTGTGAAAAGTTTAGTTTTCTGGAGGAATATATGTTTCTAAGAAATTGTATCACCAGAAATGAATACTCTTTGATTCAGTTTCATATCTAGTTTATTAACCAATTTTCATTTTTCTTGAGTTTAAAGATTTTGAAATTTATCAAAAACTTTTATCAACCACCTATTAGGTATATGAAGAACACATTATAGCCAAAGTAATCCATTGGAAGCTGTAATCCAGATTTTTAAAATTTAGCAGTATTTTTAACTTTATTTTGATATTTGGCATATTTGATCTGACTTAGGAAAGGCATGGGCTCTGGCATAATCATCACAGGCTGTTCTAGTTGTTCACTTACAGTATTAGGATGTGGGATGATAGCTTACTAGCTGTAAATTATCCGGACAATGCTAGGTAAATGTTACATCATTAATATGTAATTTATTCTTTCTTGCATAATTTGAAACAAAACTTTTTTAATTAATAAAAATTTTAGGAAAATCTAAAAAATAAAAATGAATTCTTTATATGAATAGATTTATTTTGTATTTATATGTAACATTTAACATGTTTTATTTAGTTTTAGGAAAGATAATTTTGAGAAGCCACCTGATTTTGTGCTTAGTTATCAAGAAAAAGTAAATGAAGAACCTGTTGGCTTTTTAAAAATGTTGAGGAGCACAAATATTTGCCTTATGTTTTTCTTTTTTTTCTACTCATCTGTTTTGCTTGTCTTTCACGTACTTTTTTTCTTAATTATCATTGCACAGTTGAATAAGAGCTTGGATGTAACAATGAGTTTAAAAGTTGTTCTATAAGCATAATAAGTAGAAATGAAAGGTTTTATTGGTTTGATGTCTTTAGAATGTTAATGCTTGGTTTTGTATACCTGAGTATCAAGTGAAGACAGTTTCTGAGTCTGGAATAGTGACTCATGTTAGTGATTATTGCAATTGAATGACTCAAATAGGTAAAAAGAAAGTTTCCCCAGATAAGATGGTTGAAATGCAAGCAAAAATCGATGAGGAGAGAAAAGCACTTGAAACAAAGCTTGATATGGAAGAAGAAGAAAGAAACAAAGCTAGAGCTGAATTAGAGAAACGGGAGAAAGATCTTCTTAAAGCCCAGTGAGTATTTAGTAAATTGAGATGTGTTTGTGAGCTAAATTTTTAATGGTTTTCATAGGATGTATAGCCGTAAAATTGAATAGCAATTGAAAAATTTATTTTTATCTCCAGTATTGTTTAATATAGAAGATCACATTGTATGTAGTATATTTTCTTCCTTTTTTTTTTTTTTTAACAAATTCATTGATTTATTTGAAAAGCAGAGTTACCGAGAGGGTGGGGGAGAGGCAAAGAGAGTAATCTTCCATTTGTTGGTTCACCACCAAAATGGCAGTAGGTTGAAGCCAAGTGCCCTGAGCTTGTTCCAGGTCTCCCATGTGGGTGTAGAGTCCCAAGCACTTGGACCATTCTCTGCTGCTTTTCCTGGACCAGAAGTTGAGTAGCCAAGAGACAAAATGGCTCCGATCTGGGATGCCAGCGGCACAGTACACTACACCCCAGTGCTGGCCTAATATGTGATGTATTTCAATGTTAGCTCTGTTTTCATGATTTCAAATCTGTGTGGAAGTAAAAGAAATCTGTAAAATTGGATCATATCATGAATTAACACTACCCAGTGGTATAATTTTGTAAAGATGTTACATAATTGTATTTGTTTTGAGATTGTAGTTCAAAATCTTGTTAAATTTTGGGAACTGATGATATCCCAAAAACAGTATATGATTTTTATATAAAACATTCTTTTTAAAAAGACCTACATATTTATTTTATTTGAAAGAGTTACAAAGAGATAGAGGGAGAGACAGAGCACGAGATCCTCCATTGACTGATTCACTCCGCAATGACTGTAACAGCCAGAGCTCTGAAGCTGGGAGCCAGGAATTTTTTTGGTTTTCCATTGTGAGTATAGGAGCCCAAGGACTTGAGCCATCTTCCACTTCTTTATGAGGCCATAAACAGGGAACTGGATTGGAAGTGGAGCAGCCAGGACATGAACCAGCATTCATATGGGATGCTGTTGTTGCCAGTGCAAGATTAGCCTACTGTGCCTCCATGCCAACCCCCTATTTATTTATTTTTTAAAAGAGAGAGAAAGATCTTCACCTGTTTGTTATCTCTCCAGATGACCACAGTGGCTAGCACTGGGCCAGGCTGAAGCCAGGATCCAAAAGTCTCATCCTGGTCTCCCATGTGGGTGTCAGAGACCCTAGCAGTTGCATCATCAATGCTTTTTCCAGGCTATTAGAAGCTAGCTGGATTGGGAACTGGGCAACCACAACACCAGTTGGTTTCTCATTTCGGATGCCTGCATCGCAGCAGTGTTACCTGCCCATGCCACAGTACTGGTCCTGAAAATATTCTTATTTTAATGAGCAGACAAGAGCATCAATCTTTGCTGGAAAAATTGTCTGCACTGGAAAAAAAGGTCATTGTTGGTGGTGTTGATTTGTTGGCTAAAGCTGAGGAGCAAGAAAAACTTCTTGAAGAATCTAACATGGAATTGGAAGAAAGAAGGAAAAGAGCAGAGCAGCTTCGCAAAGAACTTGAGGAAAAAGAAGTAACGTGACTTTTTTGTTCTTAGTTTAATATTTTGTTTAAGTTATTTAACTTTCCAATTAAAATATAGATAGTTGTAATCTTAATAAATTTTAAAGCCAATTTGTGGATTACTTTGGTGTTAATAATAAGAATATCATTTGTCAAATAACTAAATTGTGTTTTCACAAAAAATTCTGAAGATTACCATTTTGTGTCATAGCAAGAACGCTTGGATATTGAAGAAAAATATACCAGTTTGCAAGAAGAAGCACAGGGAAAGACCAAGAAGTTAAAGAAAGTGTGGACAATGCTAATGGCTGCAAAGTCAGAGGTTCGTCTCTCTTACAAATTACTCGTGGGGCAGTTGTTTAACTTCATGCCACATTAAGGTGCCTGACTGCAGGTTCTGCTGTTGCTGAGTTGGGAGGCAGCAGCCAGAGCTCAGGTAACTGGGTTCCTGACACTCAGGGGAGAAGCTGGAGTTGGATTCCAGCCCAGCCCAGTGCTGCCGCTGCAGCGTCGGGGAGTGAGCCAAGGAAGGGAGTATGCTCTCTCTCTTGCACTTGCTGTGTGTATCTCTCTCACTTTTCTGCCTCTGAAAGGGAAGTAAGAATTACCCACAAATAGAATTCTGAAGTTTAAAAAGTTGTTGTTTTTACAGGTTTATTTATTGTGGTATATATAGCTGGCAGAGCCCCTGTCTGAAATGCCAGCATCCTATTTGGACACTGGTGCAAGGTCTGCTGCTCAGTTTTCTGTCTGACTCTGATGGCCTGGGAAAAGTAACAGACGATGGGCCAAGTGTAGTAACTAGGGCTCAAAGCAGCACGCGTGTCGGATGACGGCACCGCAGGCCGTGGCTCAGTTCACTACACCACAGTGCCAGTGCCATTTTCTTTTTCTTTTCTTTCTCTTCTTCTTCTTTTTTTTTAATTTGTCCTGGAAGTAACTTTCCTTTTTTTTTTTTTTTGAAGATTTATTTTTATTTTTATTGGAAAGGAGGATATACAGAGAGGAGAGACAGAGAGGAAGATCTTCCGTCCAATGATTCACTCCCCAAGTGAGCGCAACGGCCGATGCTATGCCGATCCGAAGCCAGGAGCCTCTTCCGGGTCTCCCACATGCGGGTGCAGGGTCCCAAAGCCTTGGGCCGTCCTCGACTGCTTTCCTGGGCCACAGGCAGGGAGCTGGAAGGGAAGTGGGGCTGCCGGGATTAGAACCAGTGACCATATGGGATCCCGGGCGTGCAAGGCGAGGACCTTAACCACTGTGCCACCTCGCCAGGCCCAACTTTCATTTTTTTTAAAAAAAAATTAATTAGATGATGGTTACATAGTTAATCAGGGTTGGGGGGAGAATCCAGGGTCCAGAAAAAATGGGTGTGATTATCACTTCTGAATCTTCTATTTCTTCTTTCTCTTTCTGGGGTGAAGGGGGAAGATAATGGGAGAAGGCATACCCAGTCTCCCAAACTCCCCATACCCGGAGAAGGGGAGTGGCCATCCAATATCAGCCCAGGGTCCCAGTGTGGTACATACCAAAGTGGTTTTTGTAGTTCTGAATGCTGTCGATCTTGCTGATCCATAGAAGAAGAATCCCTCCCAATGTCCATTGGCTGACATAGTTGACCTTAGAGTCTCCATTTGCCCAGATTTCTGCTGTCATCATTTAGCTGGGGCGGTTGTCCAATTTGTTCTGCCTCCTTGCTCTGCTGTGGTACCAGATGTCCTCTGCAGGTCTCCATGGGCTGCCACGGCCTCTGTGTGCGTCAGGGCCTGCCATCCACTACTCTGTCTTTTCCACTGAGGAGATAACCGGTTCTCATAACTGGGTGCACAACCTGGACCCGCCAGATCCTCTGCCCCAGCACCCCATTTTCTAACCATAATTTTGTTAAAAGAACTGAGTAAGGTCTCACGAGCCTTCTTGAATCAGTTTCCTCAGTTGTCGTGTGTAACTGTTTTATGCGTAGCATCTTGTTTGTTCATGTATTTTCACAAATTTTCTTGTAGATGGCGGATCTCCAGCAAGAACATCAGAGGGAAATTGAAGGCCTATTGGAGAATATTCGACAACTTAGCCGAGAGCTTCGACTTCAGATGCTTATTATTGATAATTTTATACCTCAGGATTATCAGGTACGTGAGAAATTCTCTGACCTAGATTTTAGTGGTTGACTGTAGTTAAGAAACAAGGAAATAGGGGGTTCGACATGGTGGCATCATAGGCTAATCCTCTGCCTGCAGGTGCCAGTTGGTGTCCTGACTGCTCCACTTCCTATCCAACTCAACAAATGGAAGACCTTTCTCTGTCTGTCCTCTCTCTGGAAAAATCTGCCTTGCAAATAATAATTTTAAAAAGGAGGAAGTATAATTTTCTAAGGTCACTGATGCTAAATGTTTATATTTCACAATTGGCCATAAAATTTTCTAGAATCCCATCACATTTTATTTAGTTGTTGATGTTTTGAATATGTGACTCTGAGTATCTAAGTATCTAAAGAAGAATTTCCTAGCTGTTTGGAAGAACTGAGATTCATGTCAGTTCAGTTCATCATCACGTCATCATGTCATCATTCATGTCAGTCCTGTTCATCAGTTGAGCATCCTTTATCATGCAAGTAGAATAAATAGATCCCTTGTGTGTGTTCTCCCTGCTTCTGGAGGTTCTTTCTTTTGCTTTCTGTATATGTGGTAAAATTTACATCACAGGCCTGGTGTGGATTCCTCACCTTAAATGTGCCAGGATCCCTTATGGGTGCTGGTTTTTATCCCAGCTGCTTCACTTCCTATCCAGCACCCTGCTTGTGGCCTGGGAAAGCAGTATAGGGCAGTCCAATGCCTTGGGACCATGCACCTGCATGGAAGACCCGAAAGAAGCTCCTGGCTTCACATAGGCTCAGTTCTGCCTATTGTGACCACTTGGGAAGTGAACCAGCAGATGGAAGATCTTTGTCTCTGTCTCTCCTTCTCTCTGTAAATCTGACTTTCCAATAAAAACAGATAAGTGTTAAAAACATACACATCACATTGAAGTTTGCCGTGTCCTCATCCTGTTCCTGTTGTTTTTAAGTGTCTAGTTCAGTGTGAATACATTCACATGATTGTGCAGCAGCTATCATCCATCTCAGATGTTCTGAATAGCAGTATAACTTGTAAATCTTTTTTTTAATTTTTAATTTTTGATGATTTTTGCATTGTTGATTAGGGTGATAAGGGTCAAAGGCTATAGGAAGGTTGGTGAGATCACCATTTCCACATTATCTTTTTTTCCTTCCTGTATTTGGGGGAAGTGGAGAGATAAGGAGAGAAACCACATCCAACGTCCCAAATGCTTCTGCACCCTGGGATGTAGGACAGCCACCCAACACCTCCCTAGAGTCCCCAGTGTGGGGCATGCTCTGAGGGTCCTGCTCAAGAGGATTTAGTAGTTCAACAGTTCTGAATTACTACTAATCTTGCTACTCCAAGCATGATGAAATCTCTCCAGAATCCACTGGTTACATAGTCCACCTGAGAGTCTCCATTTGCCCAGATATTCACTGCCAACACTTGGCTGAGCTAGTTGATGCGTTTGTTCTGTCCTTCATCCTCTGTTATGGTCCAGGTGTTCTCTGTAGCCTGTAATGTACTGCCATGTCCTCCGTGCGCACCTGGATATGTTGGCCACTGCTCTGTCTAAACCACTGAGGAGGCCCGTGTCTGACATATGCACTCCACGATCAGACTGTGGAACCTGCAATTCTCTCCATGGTTGGGGTTCTAAGTTCAGCAATTCAGTTGGGGGAACCCCCAACGAAACTTCATCTGAGGTGATCCCAGATCTGATTCTTGTTTGTGCTTGGCAATACAGGATCCAATACAGTCTGTCGCCCCAATCAGCTTATGCACGTGCTGGTGGTTGCAGCTGATGGGTCAGTTGTGTCTCTAGTCCTATCTCCTACGCAAACCAATGGGTTTTGCAGCCCAGCCCAATCCTGCCCATCATACACTCAGCCTTCACGTACACCAGTTGGTTCAGCAGGCCTGCCCTCTGCCCTGGTTGCTGTGCTGGCAGCATGAAAAATCTTTTTAATTTAAAAAAAAAAAGTCTTTCTGGTACATTTTCGTATGCTTTAATAAAATAATTTTTAAAAAATGATTTTAAATCTCATTGTAACTTGAAGAAGTATGTTTGAAAATGGACTTTAAGGGTGTTTGTTTTGTTTTGTTTTGTTTTGAGTTATGTTGTGTTGTTTTGTTTTTGCTTTGAACCCCAGGTACATGAAATAGATCCTGGATTTGTGGTCACTTTCTTTCTGGGTCCTTGGGAGGCTTGCTTGTATTGAGTGTTTTATTTTGAGCTGATTATCCCCAAAACAAAAGCTGGGGCCTTGTGGGTGACTTCGCTTCTACCAAATGGTCTCCCCCACCCTGTTCCTTCACTTTGCTGCACTCCTCATCCTGTTCCTGTTTTTTTTTTTTTAATAAAACTTAGTATTATCTACATATAAGAAATGTGCATTTAAAGATTCATTTTGAAAGTATCATGCAATATCTATTTTGAGATGTATCATTTTTAAGAATCATGTATTTATTTATTTAAAATAAGCCATGACAGAGAGGGAGAGCTCTTCCATGTGCTGAGTCACCCTCTGAATATGTGACAGCTGAGCCTGGGCCAGCCAACAGACTCCTTTGTTGCATCAGGGACCCAAGCACTTCCCATATGCATTAGAAGGAAGCTAGATTAGGGGTGGAGTGGCTGGGATCAAGCTGGAACTCTGATATGGGATGCAGGCATCCCAAGTGTCAACTTAGCCTGCTTTGCCACAATGCTGTCCTAAGACTTAACGTTTTTAAAAGAGGTGGACTATGTCAGCCAGTGAATTCTGGAGAGATTTCATTGTGCTTGGAATGGTGAGATTGGCAGCAATTCAGAACTGTTGAACTATCAAAACCACTTGAGCAGTGCCCTCGGAACGTGCCCCACATCGGGGACCTGGGACGGGTGAGAGGCTTACTGTGGCTTCTCTCCTTATCTTCCCTCTTACCCCAGATACAGGAAAAAAAAGAGAGAGAGAATGTGGAAACAATAGTCTTACCCACTTTCCTGTAACCCTTGATGCTTTGTGCCCCAATCAACTATGTAAAGGTTATCAAATAAAATAATAATTTAAAAAATCATAAAGTAAAAAAAAATTTTATTTGAAAGGCAGAAATCAGAGAAGAGGGAGAGACAGAGATCTTCCATCCACTGGTTTGCTGCCCAAGTAACTGCAATAGCTGGGGCTGGGTCAGTCTGAAACCTGGAGCCACGAGCTTCCTTTGGGTTTACTGCAAGGGGCCGGGGCCCAGCATTTGGACTGTGCTTTGCAGCTTTTGTAGGCATGTTGGAAGGGAGCTGTATTGGAAATAGAGCAGCTGGGATTCAGATAGGCTCATATAGAATACCAGTGTTGCAGACAGCAACCCAACATCATTATACCACAATGCTGGTCCCTGATACTTAATATTTTTAAAAATACTTATTTATGAGACAGAGAAGGAATAGGCACTCCCATCCACACTGACTCACTTCCCAGTAATTAACCTGTAATTACCCTGTAATTACTCAGTCTGAACAAGAGCTGAAGCTGGTATCCAGGAGCACCCAGGACTCTCAGTTGTGGGAACCCAATGACTTGAGCCTACACCCCAACCCCCGCCAGCGTCTGTACCAGTAGGAAGCTCGAGTGATGAGCCAGAATTGGGTAGTGAACCCACTTGCTTCGGTGTGGAACATGGGCATCTTGCCTGCTGGGCAAAATGCCTGATCCAAGTTTTGACTTTTGTCATTTAACATTACTAAATGCTTAGTTTCATTACTAAAAAATTAGTTGAGATGATTTTTCACTCTTTTTAAAGGAAATGATTGAAAATTATGTCCATTGGAATGAAGACATCGGAGAATGGCAGCTGGTGAGTGTTCCTTCTTGCATGAAGTTCTGCTGGAGTCCTTCCTGCGAGCTGGACACAGTGTTGTGGAGATGAGATGGCCATGGTGTGAAACCGATGAGACCCAGGAGTGTGGGTGGGAGGTTTTTCTAACTGGCCACACCTTCAGAGCATGCCACAGATGTAGTATAGGCCAAGGACTAAGTGGACTGAATGGTTTTTGGGTCCCTTTTCATTCCAGCATTCAAATCCTGTCTTACTAGTGTAGTCTCAGAGGATCTCCTCTGGTTTACCTAGTTCATAGTGTTGATTACTAATTATGACTTGTTCTCCCCTCTGCTTTTCTTTTTTGAGAAATGTGTCGCCTACACAGGAAATAACATGAGGAAGCAAACTCCAGTACCTGACAAAAAGGAGAAAGATGTAAGACAACTTTTTGAAAAATGTATTTTTTAAAAATACAGTAGTTGCTTCTTCATAGAAATAGGTTCTTAAATTATTATTAATATGCTCTTTATCTGTTAATAATCTGTACTTAGAAATGAGCTAATCTTCTGGAAATAGTTGTTTTAGGGTAAGTCACGATGGCAGACTTATCATTTCTATCAGAAGAGGGACATATATTCATTCTTTGCAGTCCTCTTTATCCACGTTTCCCGGTCATGGGACTGTGGCTAGAAAGTAGAATGAGTCTGTCTTTTTTCTCAAAACTGGTTCTGGTTCTAGGTCTCCAAAAAGAGTGAGTGGCTTTATGGAAAAGAGCAGCCACTTTTCTCTGCGTTTAAGGAAATGTATAGTGTGTCAGGGCTTCTTAGTCACCACCCTCTTGTCGCACGCATTTACATTTTTACTCTTAAGACTTGTTTGTTTACTTAAAGGGCAGAGTGGTAGAGAGTGAGATGGGGCAGGAGAGAAAGGAGACAGGAAGGGTGGAGAAAATCTTCCATCTGCTGGTTCACTCCCCAGTGTGTGTGACAGCCGAGACTAGACTAGACCGAAGCTGAGAGCACCGAGCTGCATCCAGTTTTCCCATGTGGGTAGGATGGTGCACAATGCTTGAACCATCATCTGCTGCCTCCCAGGTACATCAGCAGGGAGCTCTACCTGAAGTGTGAAGAAGGCAGGGCTCAAGCCAGTATGGGTTGCACATGTCCCAAGTGGAGGCTTTATGCATTGTGCCCCAATTCTGATGCATGCTGAACATTTTATAGGAATTGGGATTTGAAGATCCCTTTAGACTTTTGCTAGATTTTGCTTCCTGTGTGGTATTTCTAGGAATTTTCCCCAAATTTGCCCCCCAAATCTGGTGTATCTCCTTCCTGTAAGAGTGGCTTGTTTGCTTTTTTGATTTAGCCCTTTGAAGTGGACCTTTCCCATGTGTACCTTGCCTATACTGAGGAGAGCCTGCGTCAGTCCTTGATGAAATTAGAAAGGCCACGGACGTCAAAGGGCAAAGCAAGGCCGAAGACGGGGAGGAGGTGAGCACCGCCCTTACACTCCGTGCAGCGGGGGCTGTGATGTATCCTTAAAGTTAAAATATACTTAGCATGATAAATATTTTGGCTAATGTATGAAAATGAGATTCCGTATAAAATTATGGCTTGGGTTAATTAAATTGGCTAACTGCTTCCATCCTCTTGAGTAGTATAATTTATTTTTAATTTGCTCTGTTCTTTCCAAATGTATAGATTACCTTCCTGCTTATTTAATTCCTGAATTTCTTAATTGTTCTAGTGACATGCCAGTTAGTTTGTCTGGTTAGTCTCTCAAGGTATTGTACCCACTGAGTAGCTTTCCTGTCAGAAGCATTACCCCAGAAAATGGATTTCTTGAGCCAACTTTGTTGGCAATCTTTTCTTTTCCTTTAGGCACTGGCCTTGGGGTAGTATCTGTGTATCATGTAGACCCAGAGAAATCAAATTATAGGAACCCTGGGCTGGAGCTTGTTTTCTTCCCTCCCTTTTCTGCATCAAGGGGAGTTTAGGATATTCCATATGATTGTAGCACTTTGGAATTCCTGAAATGGTAGAAAATAATGAGCTGCTCTGACTCCGTGGGACTCTGGGTTACATGTAGGAAGAAGTGTATGTTCTTAATGTAGTTATTATATCACTTCATAGACACAACCTGACACTTAAGGGGATAGTGGAACCTGGAGTCAGTTACATATTAAAAGTATACACACTTTTGCATTATCTTTAGCATTTAGGTCAGGGGTTACAAACTTTGATATGTACCTTAAACGAGAGGTGATGAAGGGATTCACATGTGGCAGCCCGTTACGGCTCTGGTGTAGTGGGGCGCTGTCCTCCTGTACTGGCAAAGTCTCAGTCATGTGTGACCTTAGCCTGTCTCTGGCCACCCTGTGTTTGCTGCTACCTAGTATGTTTTATTTCCATCCTCTAAGCAAGCTTTCATACTTTGCTTTTCTCTTCTCCAAACAGAAAGCGTTCTTCAAAGCCTGAAACTGTGATTGATTCTTTGCTACAGTAAATATTATAGAGTTAAAATCACAATAAAAACTAATGATATTCTCATGGCTGGACAAAATCTTTAATTAAAGCATTGAAGACATCTGTGTAATTCCAAACAGCGAAAGCTGTTTATCATGATGTAAGACTGGAAATCATAATTCAGTGAATGATGTTTGTGTATATATTAAGTTAATGTAACATACTGAAACCGTACACCTTGTGATTGTTGGCGTTGCCACACCCCTCTTGGTTGTATTGTGTGGGGAGCCTGGGGGCACTTTGTGTTGTGGAGACTGGCAGTTTAGAGGTGTATATAAATCTGCTGGTAATTTGCTCAACTACTGTATATGTAGATAACCAGAATTTCAGAGCAGTTAGGAAGTATGCCCTAATTTGCACATGGAAAGTAGCAGACTGAATTGCCCTGTGTCATGATACTACATGTGAATGCCGGGCTGCACAGCTGAGAAATGACTGTCCTCAGACTAACCTGCCCAGCTGCTTCAGGAAGTCCTGATTGTATCTTAAGTATAATTGGTCTTAGTGAGTTGTGGAGAATTTTATGTTTCAACAGTCAATATTTGCAAGTGTACATTTTTTGAAAAGGTGAAAATGTGTTTCATCTAGACTTTTTTTTTTGCCACTTTGAATTTAACTATACTTCCTTGGTTTCTCTGATTTTATGTTTTCTTGAAACAGTGAATTGTACCTAAGAGAGGTGTAGAACACAAGAAGCGTTAGTCCTCGCCACTTGTGTTTTTAAAGCTTCACTTTGAAGTGTGGCCTGTGGGTGTTGGCTTTGTCTAGTTCCAAATTTTGGTGGAAATGAGTCTGTGTCTTCCAACTGAAAAGGGTCCCCATTTTCCAGAAAATGTGCCCAAGCAAAATTAGTATCTTTTAATCTTTGAAACACTGTTTTATTTTTCTTTATACTTTATAAAAATTACATTTTCTTTTAATTTCTTCTGTTGGTTAATGCAGTGAAACAATATTCCTCTAAAAATAAAAATCATGTGTTATAGTAAAATAAGTTGTAATAGATAGAATTACTTGTTCTTTTGTTGACTGCTTACAGCGTTTTTAGGTTTTTTTAAACTTATGGTACTCCTGAACTACTTTGTGGGTTTTAAAATTACATGAGCAAACGTGGGCATTGTGGTGCTGTGGGTTAAACCACTAATGTAGATGCCTTCACCGTGTCGGAGTGCTGCTATGAATCCTGGCTGCCACCTACATGGGAGACCTGGGTGAAGCTCCTGGCTCTAGGCTTTGGCCTGGCCCCGCCATGGCTCTTTTGGGCATTTGGGAAGTTAATCAGTGAATGGGAAGAGATATGTCTCTCTCACTCTTCCCTCTGCCTTTACAATAAATACAAATCAGTACACATTAAAAGTAATAATATGTAACTAGCTTTGAAATACATTGGTTGCAAAGGTTTTAAACTTCACAATTAGTATTTCTTAAATATAATCTCATCAGTTTGGTTAATTGTTGGATTATAATTACTGATGGTGATATAAAGTTTGAGGGAGGGCATGAAAGTGGAAGATGATGAAGTGATGATGGAAGTGTCCATGCATTTGAACTCCTGTGGAGAAGTGGAGCGCTGGCTGGCCTGTGGATGGTGAGTGTTTTCTGTCGTGGGAGTTGGGTTTCACTGCTGGCATCTTCTTTGTGGTGTGGGGCAGTTGAGGGTAGTTAACTTCTCTGTGGAGCACTAACTTGTTACTGTGAAGACTTGAGGTGAACATGTATGTGTCTTTTAAGAGTTTTGTGGTGCAGAATAACTTGATAAATGTAAAGTGTGTTGGTAGTGTGCCTGTAACTGTTAGTAATTACAGAAATCTTAATTTTATCAATAGGAAAAAAAAAGATGAGTGCTGCTGCTTTTTAATCTTTAGCAAGTAAGTTAGAGAAAGAATAACTTTTGAACTGTTTTAACACATAGTAGTTTAAACTTTTGTTTTACCTTGACACAATAAGAAAAAATTTGTAAAAAGCCAAAATCCTGAGAAACTCATAAAACAGGCTGCATTAACATGTAAGCATTTGTACTTGAACAATGATTATATCAAATGAACACTGAATGTTTATCTTAAGAGATGATAAAACTCACCATGAAAGCCAGCCTTGAACATTGACACGAAGACGTGGGCATTGGCTTGGAGCTGGCCACTTAGCTCAGCTCCAGGAGTGCTGGGTTTATGTCACGTGGAGTGTGTGTTTGTCCACAGATGAAATAAATTGTAACTTCAGTATTCATTTCATGAAAGAATATAAATAAACCAGCTTACTCATTATGTGAAGCAAATATGCATATTTTAAATGTATGTCTAAAGTGATTACTGAATAAGTATTTTCTCCTTAATTTAAAAAGTAATATTTATTTATTAAAAGAAGCTTTGGTTAAATGTTACAGTTTATAGTGTTCTTTAATATAAACCTTATAATTATATATGCAAATAGGGTTTTAAAGTATAATTTTATTCCCATTTTTGTCCAGATTCTTGTAAATATGAGATTAGTCAAGAGGAGAAGGATTTGTGTTGGCATGTTTACGCCGTAAGTAGAATCCGCTTGACAAGTTGTATTATTCATGTTCTGAAAAAGGAGAATTTCATTTTGCAGCAGAAAATGTCTGAATGTGCTGGGAAAGAGAGGGTGCTACTTTATCTGCAGTATGCTTTAAAAATTACAATTATGGCGCAGGGTTTTTTGTTCATTTGTTGCCTTTTTTAGTTTGTTTTTATCTTAGCCCTTAACTTGTCTTAAGGAAAGTCCCTCTCCTTCCTACAGGGCTGTGAATTAAGGATGAGGCCAGTGTCTGCCCAATTTCTTAACATATGCATTTGTTTTCCTTTTTAATTATTGTTTTTTTTTTTTAATTCTAGAGGAAAACATAGATCTTCCTAGTGCCTTTGAACTTACACTGTAGTCTAATATAAATCATTGATAATTTCAGTAGCATTACTGCAGTGCGGTGTACTAACCAAAATTACAAATTGAACAATGAGTTGTTGCGTTGACTTCAAAAGCCACACTTGCATCCTATCTTATGTATAAATTGTATTTGCTTAAATTGTATATATCAATATTGTATGTATCCATGCAGCATGGTTAAATGAGAAATAAAACTCTTTTAACAAGTGCCTGTGGTAGTGGTCTTCTTGGAACTTGCTTTTACTTGCAGCTTAAAGTGATGAGCAGGTTCTTTGTGCTTGGCCTCTTCATTTCATGTGGTTAAAGAGGCTTGTGTTGTTTCACACCCAAACATTCTTACCACTGTAGGACTTTTAAGCAGAAGTCATTGTGAAGCAGACACTTGGGGAAGATGTTTTTAAATATACTTCTCATTCATCTAAATTTTCTACCAAGAGCACTGAAGTTTTGTTATCCCTGTCATTAGGTGTTTGAGAATAGAAACCAGTTCTCAAGTCATGCCTTCAACAAGTGTGTGCAAGCAGACTGATGGAATTATAACTTCTGTAACTCTTGCCAACTGAGGTTTGGAGCCAGTGTCTGCCTGTATCAGGAAGCCTGTTAGCACCGGGGTTGCCAGGATGCTGCCGCGGACACAGGAGAGCTCTTAGCCCAGTGGACTCTTCCCCCCACTTGTGGACAATCAGAACTAGGTAAACTAATATGGATTTTGTGCTGGCTGATAGGACTATAATATTTGACGCCCCCCTTACCTGTAGGCTGTTTCTCCCAGGGTCACTGTTTGCTACTTCCTTTCTTCTTTGGTCCTAATAATTATATTGTTATTTTCTGTCTTAGTCCTTTCTAACAAACCACTGAATCCATTTTTGAAACAAGATAGTACACAAGTACCTTAAGCTTACAGTTAGCGTGAGCCTTACACGGGCATGTTCACACCACCTAAAGCCACAGCCTTAGCTTGATGCCAGCTGGAGGAATCTTCCAAACACATGTTTGTTGTAACATTATCTGAATTTCCTATTCTTAAGCTGTTTCATTTGCAAAGCAAATCAGGTATTCAGTCTTCCTTCGGAAGTTGAACAAATGTGTGGGAAAATGATTGTGAAGAGGCTACTTCAAAAAGAGCCTGTTTCCCCTCAGCATTGATCTTGGGCTTCCTGTGGCCCGATCTTCAAGTTACTTTATCAACGTTATCAGAACATCAGATTTTCTTACCCGAGCACGTTCATGGCTGTGACTGAAGAACATGACAGATCAGACATTCTGCCACACCTGCTCCCCTCCCCCATCCCTTTGAGAGGGCTGGGGAAATTCTAGTTTTGAATCAAAGGCTTTTATTTCTCCAGTTGTACAGAGGAATCTAACTGGGACTTTACAACGGAATAAAATATTTCTCAGAGTCGATATCAATCTCAGCAAGAGGATATTGCCCAACTCCTCCTTAAAATACCAGAGTCATCACGCGGTCGGGTGGCCTTGATTTCTCCTCCCCACTGCCTCGGGTGTGCTGTGCTGCTGTGGCCTGTGTCCTCTCCAGTGTTTATGTCTGCATTGTTCTGACTAGGCTCTCCCTGGGAACGCAGACCTGCGCCTCCTCTGTCAGGAGGGCAAGGTGGCGGTGTCAGTGTTAGTGACAGTGGGTGTGTTGACGAGGGCGAATGGTCCTTCCCTTGCAGCCTGCACAGTCCCTGCATGTGTCTCCCTGACCCAGGGCTCAGCCGAGCCTTTCAGGGAAGTGCTGCTGTTGAGACTTTGAAGCAATTTGGTAAGTAGGAAGGCATCGCAGCAAAGATAGTGGTGTGCATTTGGAGATCCGTGAATTGGGGTCAGAGGGCAGGCAGGGATTGGCCAGGCCCCTGTTGTGAAAGAATTTTCTGGAAGTGGGAAGCCACAGCAGGATGTACAATGGAACCCTCAAATAGTGTCTTAGAAAAATAAGTCCTGGGGCCCAGCGAGGTAGCCTACTGGCTAAAGTCCTTGTCTTGAATACGCCAGGATCCCATATGGGCACTGGTTCTAATCCCGGAGGCCCCGCTTCCCTTGCAGCTCCCTGCCTGTGGCCTGGGAAAGCAGTTGAGGACGGCCCAGAGCCTTGGGACCCTGCACCTGCATGGGAGACCTGGAGGAAGCTCCTGGCTCCTGACTTTG